TTCTTTTTGTTGTTGTTTGTTGTTAGTTTTTAATTTTTTTTTTTTTTTTTTTCTATCATTATTTTTTTGGGCACACTGATAAATAAAAAAGGTCATTTCAAATGAGAACAATAATAAACCACAATATAATGAAGCATCCTAAGTAAACATAGTGATAGATTGATGTACCACAATATAATGAAGCATCCTAAGTCAACATAGTGATAGATTGATGTTCCACAATACAATGAAGCATCCTAAGTCAACATAGTGATAGATTGATGTTCCACAATATAATGAAGCATCCTAAGTCAACATAGTGATAGATTGATATTCTCTTTTTTTTCATTCACTAAATTTTGGCTTTTCCGTTGAAATTTCATTATTGGCAAAATAGCCAGCGGGAAAATTATTAAGAATCAGGGTAGTACAGTTAATGTTGAAAAGCGCATTGGTGAAAGTTCATTCAAGTTTATTTTTCATATGCCTATATAATTTTGTCACCCTCCCCAAATGTGCAGACTGGGACAGTTGCCCCCTTCACCACTATCTATGTTCGTCACTGAAAGTGAAAATTTTTGATAAACAAAGTGTATAAAAAAAATTTTTTCCGCGAAAGTAAAAATTTTTGAAAAAACAAGTGTAAAAAAAAAATTTTTTCCGCGCCCCAAAATTGCCCCCCCCCCCGGGGTGGGTTCCCCCTTACCCCCCCCCCCCCCCGGCACCAAACGCTCTAGCTATGCCTCGGGATCCCATGCCCTATTTGATGAACCCAAGCATAGCATATATAACGTATATTTAAGCTGTCATGTAATATTTGGGAAAAAAGTATGACTCCTGTCTGTTTCCGAAAAAACAAAATAAACATCATAATTAATATAAATTAATTCGTCTATATTCCACACGTTGTCATAACTTCAATATTGGCCAAAAGAAACGTGTGAACTGTCCGTGGACTTTCAACAGCACATCTCTGCACACACAAAAATCAAACAATTCTATATATATCAATTGCCAACAGCTAAGAAAGCAACTCCATATGTTAACGTGGAGTTTGTGAGCCTTTTGAATTTCTACGTTTGAGTTACAGTTACACAGCTTTAAAAAAAAACAAAAAAAACCCCAAAAAAAACTTATTTTTTAAAAAAAACGCCAACAAACTTTAGGAGGCCCACTTACTATTTTTTGGGTTCCCCCCCCCCCCTTTTTTTAATTGCCAACAGCTAAGAAAGCAACTCCATATGTTAACGTGGAGTTTGTGAGCCTTTTGAATTTCTACGTTTGAGTTAAAGTTACACAGCTTTAAAAAAAAACAAAAAAAACCCCAAAAAAAACTTATTTTTTAAAAAAAACGCCAACAAACTTTAGGAGGCCCACTTACTATTTTTTGGGTTCCCCCCCCCCCCTTTTTTTCCTGTATTAAAAGTTAGTCTAGAAGTAAATTTAAAATAATGTAGGCCTATTTATACATTTTATGAGCGAAAATATGAAATTAAGTTTAGAGTAGAAACCTAAAAAGCGAATCAAGAACTCTTCTGTTGAAGAGGAAAATATACTCGAATCATGTTGTGATAATCTCTGACGTCGCCGATTGCTGCTGCTAGTGGCTGTTGAAGTTACACTATTGATGGTGGACTGCGTTGATGAATATTCGTAGTACGACGAAACAACATCTTTAAAGATGTGCACTATCCATTTATTTAATTTAGAAAAACGTTCCCTTTCTTTCTCTGCTATTTGCTGTTTTTCAAGCTAAGCAAGGTAAAAAATGAGGCAGAAAACTTTCGTTAAAAATAATTTTTTTTTAGTGAAATTTTAAACTAAAAGTCTAAAGACTAAAAGTAAAATCTAAAAAAAAATTGAGACTTCTTAATCAATCAAATTAAAAATCATTTAAATATTTTGATTACCAATATTTTAAATTAGGTAATCTACCACTTCGGGGTTGGTTGTTTAAAAAAAAAACCTGTTGTTCCTGTTTGGAGTGCTATTATTTAATTTAAAGGGTTATTAGATTAGTTATTCTTTTATTGATGTCCTTCAGGGCCAGCTTGGTTTTCACTATTTTCAGTCTGTGCCCAAGGGGCAGTCAACAGAGTGCTACTGAAATGTTCAGAATTGGATCTTTGACAAAAATATGTTTGGAATTAGTGTTTCCAGGCAGCACTACAAATCATGTTGGCAGTTGGTGGCCTACCCTGGTAGTACTGGCGCTGTCATCACAAATTTTTCAGTCTTGGTCTTCCGTTTTCAAAACTGTTGATTTAGAGGAGCTGTCATCCCACAACACACTAAACATTAGAACTAATTTTAACACGATTTCAAGTTTAAAAACAATGTTTAGGCTTTCGGTAAAGACGAAGAGCAGCATCTTATGAAATTATTTTTATGTTAGGTTATAAACTTTTTTCCATACGTTTTTAACAAAATAAAATGACACCAATAGTAACCAAAACTTTGTTGTACATTGTTATTTTACCCCCCTCATTATCTTGCAACACACCAGTAACAATTAATTCCCCACCTTATTTACAACTATGACTATACAGTGTAAATTTCCATATGATAAGACTGTCAACTTTGAACTATATTAAAAAATCTGCTTCAATTTTTAAACATGGGTTCTTCTTAAACATGAATGAAAATGTAAGTAATTTCAAGCTTCTCTGACTAATTGAAAAAAATTATTTACTTCATGCCAACTCCCAATGAAACATCTTATGTTTTAAATTACCTTTAGGTTTAGCTAAATAACTATTTTTTGCCATGTATACATTATAAATGGATTCAAATTGTCAAGTAATTTTAATGAACTAAATTAACATTTATAGATACTGTTGAGTTGAATTTTTTTTAATTGATGTACCACATGGTGCCTTGGGCCATCTCCCCCTGTATGGGGCTCATGATCTGTTTACAGGATTTCATTTATTAATCAGATCAGAGTTTTACATATTTATGATAACATTTATAATAAGCTTTCAATTTTTTAGTTTTCCAACATAAATTTTTCATAATACACTGAGGTCAAATAATTCAGACAAACTTTTTTATTTCAAGTTAATTGTATCTCTGTTATATTTCAGAATCACTTCAACAATTATGGCTCAATAAAAAATGCGGCATGGGCCTGCCCATCCATGGGCCCCTAGCCGCCAGTGAGTGAGGAGGAGATGCTGTCTTGGGAGAAGGAATGTGTCGGAGCTGAGTTTGAATGACAATACACTTAGATAGTGCTGTCTAACAACATCATTGCAGCTGAGTTTGGATGACAAGACACTGAGATAGTGCTATCACATCAACAACATTAGTAGCCTCTTGTGCAAAGTTAAAGAATATATATGAGATTATAATCAATCGGCTTTAATTTGATATTTATAATTTACACGGTTTAGATTTCCACAATGCCTTTAATTCTGTTGGAGAAAGAGTGTGGCGCAAAGTGCAGATCGAGGAAACATGTCCAGGAAATCATATCGATGATCGTTCGGGGCAGCCTCAGGGAATTTCAAGCATTCTCAAATTTGTGCTACAACTGGAATCGGCTGACTGATGTTTTCGGCCGCAGTGCACTGCATGTCGCTGCCTCGTGTGGAAAAACTGAAATTGTGGAGTGGCTTCTTGAGGAGAAGAAAGTTGATCTGACCCCCAGGGACTCGGAATCTGGGTACACCGCCCTGCACAGGGCATTATTTTATGGTCAGCTTAGTTGTGCTAGACTTCTTGTACAGGTAGGTGTGATTGGCATTTAATATTTTCAATAGAAAAATATTTTGACTAAGGTTTATTAAATGTTTTATCTTGCTTAAAAGAAATTTCCAGTTCAGCACCGTAGAAATTTGTATGTTTAAGGGACTGTACATTTTATAGCTGAGATAACTGGACATAGTGAGATACTTGACGTACTGAGAAAACTGGACATATTGAGATAACTTGATGTGCTGAGAACTTGATGTAGTGAGATAAAGTGACGTAGTGGTCAGTTCTCTATAAAATTCTTAACACAAGAGTAAAGTAAATTTATAAATGATAAAATAAATATATTTGATTTGAATCTTATAATATGATTAATTAGTCACTTTTTTTCATGAACTAGACCACTAAAAGATTTCAAGTTATCATTTCTAGTTTTTTTGTTTGTTTTTTTTTCTTCTTATATCAGCTAAAACTGCTTAACTTTTAAAGCCTCTGAATGTGATTTTTTTTTTTTTTACATCCTTCTCATCAAAGTATAACTGTGACCTGCAAGTTAGGGATGTTGAAGGCTTAAGTCCCTTAGATATAGTTATGTTGGACAGACCCCCTCATGTCACATACTCTCTGAAAGGTAAGTTAAACAGTCTGAAATTTCATCATGGCTTGGCTACTATCTAAATTTTCTGTGAAAACTAAATATTCAAGGAACATAACTGAAACTACCATGTATTCAAGGAAAATAACTGAAATTATACTTGTATTGGTGGGTGTGTTTTGCTCCAGTGGAAAAAAAATATTTAAACTATTTAGTTTCTTGAACCATCAGAGCCAAATGAGGTGTACACATGGGGTGAGAACCACAACAGCACTCTTGGCCACTCAAGCCCCCACAAGCGGATCACGCCGGAAGCCGTGGACATGTTCAAGAAATCTGGCACCTCTGTCAAACAGGCAAGACATGATCATGCGTGAATCAATTATTTTCTTTCAAGTGACTTACAAAATATTTATGAAACAAAATTTATAAAAAGAAAACAGATTATAACAAAATTTCTTTGAGAGCAAGAACTTTCTTTTAATAATTTTTTTACTTTAACATGTTATGGTAAATATTCAATGACTTTATGAAACTTTAAAAGGATAACTTTATAATGATATAAGATTCATTGCTTCTTGTAAATAAAAATGTGCAATGGATATTGAGATACATCTTGATATCACATTGCCGCATCTGTTAAAGTTTTATGTTTGTCTTCTGTATTTTCATCTAACTTCTAAAATCGTGAATATTTAAAAACAAATATTTTTTTTTCAAATTAGATTGTCCTTTGCAAGTATCACAGTGTGTTTCTCTCACAAAGTGGTCAAGTTTACACATGTGGCCACGGCCATGGTGGCCGCTTGGGTCACAGTGACCAACAAACTGTTTTGGTAAGTGCTTGTTAGACAATTAATTTTTTTTTTGGCCCCAGCTGCCAACCTGCAATTTACAATATTTTTAAAAAAAGTTAACTGAACGAATGTAATCCAAAATAAGATGTTGACATCCTTATTGTAGTACTGCGACGTTGCCTGTCATCAATGGTAGGGGTGTGCCGGATCCGTTTTTTCCAACCGGATCCGGATTTTCTTATGCGAAATCCGCCGGATCCGGATACCGGTTTCTCCCGGATTCCGGATTTTGGTACTATTGGTAGATACTTCGGTAAGTCAAGGTGGACTACTACTTTTTGTGTATGGGAATTCGCAATCGGCGCCAAAAAATCCGAGTTTTTAATTTTCCGATGTGTGTGTCTATTTATTATTAAATTAGTACTTTCGATATATATTTGAGTTCCGTTCCATTTGGATAAGTGTCTTACGAGAGACGCCATGTTTCTACGCGTTCGCAGCAGGTTATGCAGCTCGCTCAACCTAATTTCGCCATGGGGTTGGCCACGCCCCCCTTTTTAATGGCGGAAGTTGACGATACTTAGGAAATATTAATTTATTATCACTATTTACATCAAAATAATTGATAACTTGTGTTTCAGAATGCATTTAAAGACATTTAAACTGGAATGTTTTAATTTGAGCTTTAACAACCCGGTAGAATCCATATTATAAATGATCAGAATTTACCGTGTGCAACACGTTGTCATTGGCAACCATTCACAGCCACTTGCATAACTGTATCGTAGTACTACCTCAGAGTTTCATTCATAAGAGTTTGCCGTGTGCAAAAACTATTAAACCATTGGTCAGGGAAAGCTTTAATTAATTATTCATGTGCCAAAGTTGAAAGTTTAAACTAAGTCTAAACAGTATTTTAGTGATAAGGCAGGGAATGCGTTGCCTTATATAAACTATATAGTCATTGCGCATGACGGGATTGGCGGAATGAGATCACAGAATGTGGAGATGCAGTCCATGTTAAAAAATGACAAACCAAGTCGTACTTTAAAAATTCATAACTTTAAAACTACAACAGCTAAAAATATGATTTTGGTGTTATAATTCTTTAAAAAATTACATCTTTTCAACTATGCCATTGGTTTATTTTTACAAAAAGTTTACATTTTCTTATCAAAGTCCCTACACTATTGGCCACTATTAGCGGTGCTGACTCTAGCCTCTGGTATGTACGGAATATTAAACATTAAACAAGCTCAACGCTCGAAACAATCGATTAATGTATCGTGATCGTGTGAAATTCGGGAAAGAGAATTACTTTTATTTCAGATTATGATCCGGTGAGTCACAAAATCTGGAAAATTCCGAAATCCGGTATATTCCGGATTCCGGTTGTTCCGGATACATGTAAATCCGTCGGAACCGGATTTCACCGGATAGTGCAAAATCCGGCGGAACCGGATTCCGGACCGGGGTCCGGCACACCCCTAATCAATGGTGAGATGTAAGGATGTTGTGAAATTTGTTTAACGGATGTGTTCCTGGGATAGTGTAAGGGGGGAGGAAATGCATTTCTGGCCATTGGAAATGCCTGAATCTGGAGATTGGGGGGGGGGGTGTGAACAGATTTAATGAGACGGTGCGTGTTGTTTATGTTCCCGTGGGGAATTCTCTGGGAGGAGTGGGGGGCCTGTGGTGCTGCCCCTGTTCGCCCATTCAGGAATGTGTCGCCTGTTACATGTTACAAAAGGGATATGGCCTTGGATGTTGATTTTCCCCAGACTGCTCTCAAAGGTTCTTATGTTGCCAGCTTTACACCCAATGCAACTGCAAGTATTTTCTTTATTAAAATATTAACTCACTGGGGCAACTTTTCAAAATAAAACTTTGGAATTTGTTTTTTGTTAAATATTATTATTGATTTATTCTTTGTGGGAGGGGTTTGCACTTAATTTTACAACCATTAAAATTTACCTGGTATTTTTTAGGTGCCTCGGTTGCTGGATAGTGTAAAAGAACACACGTGTCTGGAGATCGCAGCAGCTTGCGACCACACTGTGCTAAGGATGGCAGGGTAGTACAGATTTTTAGACCTGCATTTTAGAATCTCTACTGGCTTTTAGAATCTCCTACTGGCTTTTAGAATCTCCTATTGGCTTTTATAATCTCTACTGGCTTTTGGAATCTCCTGGGTTTTCAACAATTTATAACTCGTGACGACATGACTTCTATTATTTACATAAATTCTTTTAGCTTTGCTGTATAATCTTCACTAGACTTGAATAAGACGAGATTTATTATTTTTAATCTGATAATCTTGATCCTGTTTAGAACCGCCAATTTAAGTCCTAACAAGGCTCTTATTTTTTTCACATAGGCTTTGCATATGTCAATAGAGGCGTCATCTATAAATACAGCTTCATTTGTACAATAACTCCATCCATAATACTACTAAACCTACAATATATCTTCAGCCTTATTTAACATTAAAGTATCTTTTGTTTCCGTCTGTCCAGTGGCCTGGTATACACATTTGGACTGAACTCCTGCCACCAGCTTGGCCAGACGCCTTTTGTAGAGACCAGCCCAGAGCCGAAACAGGTAAAAGAAATAATGAATCGTTATTGTTTCATTCAGGTACTCAGAAATTCTTTTTATCTATTAATGACAAGTTTCTTTGAAAAAAAAAATGTTATTTGACTCTTCCGCACAGCAATATATACTTTGGACAAAAGATTATGGATGCGCAAGAAATTTTAAGCTTATATCAGAACTCAAGAAAATGCTGAGGAAAAATTTGTGTCGGGGGAAGCCTAGAAATGGCAGAAACAGAGTTAATGATGGAACGTATCACATCAACTTTAGAGTGTAAATAGACACTGACGCTTATTGTTTTAGGATTTCAAAAATATCCAGACTTAAAAATAATGGAATGATTTTAACATTAAACATTTTTTTTAAAGGTAATTCAAATATTAAATGGTGATTAATATGACTTTTCATTCATTTTTGGTCCTTACATGTTTAAAATTTTTTACCTTTTTGTGAGGGATTTTTTGTTTGTTTTTTTGTTGATGTTTTGATTCCTGAGATTGTCATGTATGTGTACATGTTAGAACAGTTCAATGATTGTGTGTTTGAAACGTGTTCCCCCAGATGAACCTGAAGCCACTGAAAGGGAAGAGCATCAGTGGTGTCTGTGTGGGACGCTTTCACACTGTTGTCTGGACACCGGACAGTGTGTTTACGGTTGGCTTGAATGCTGGACAGCTGGGTATGTTTTATCATGTTTTTTTTTTTTCTTTTGCACAAAAACAAAAAAAAGATGACCATGATAAAACATGGTCATCTTTTTTCTTTTTTTTTATGTGCCAGACATAATTTCTGTTTTTGTTTTTGTTGTAGTTATAGTATGATTCATAGTTGTCTTGAATGCTGGACAGCTTGTTATGTTTTATCATGTTTTTTTTTTTTCTTTTGCACAAAAACAAAAAAAAGATGACCATGATAAAACATGGTCATCTTTTTTCTTTTTTTTTATGTGCCAGACATAATTTCTGTTTTTGTTGTTGTTGTAGTTATAGTATGATTCATAATGAGGCCGTTGTCTTCATTATTACTAAAGGATAGAAAGGAGAATGAAATAGGATTTACATTCCTTATTAGTGAAGGCTAATATTTGAAATTGCAATTGAACTAAGAATGTTGGAGAAAAAATAAAGAAAAGGAACCGCGTTCTCTGACGATTTATTTTGTTCTTCTGTTGTATCTCTATTTTCTTTGAGAGCTCCACTGAATTATTTTTGTTTTCATATCATAAAGCTTCTCATAAAAAAAGCAAAAAAACTTTTTGGAAGACTATTTTAGGGAGGTTTACAGTGATTCATTACTACTGTGTTTTGTTTACAATGCAGGTCACCAAAGGGGAGACAAGCATGTATCGACCCTACGTCAGGTGTCTTACCTCCGGCACACTGACATTGGCATTGCCAGGGTGGCCTGCTCAGATGCCGCCACCGTTTGTCTGACCACAAAAGGAGACGTCTACGTCCTGCACGAGTATCAGTGCAAGAAAATAGCCTCTAAGTGAGAACAGAATTTCACATAAATTACTACTACTTGTACTTGTTTGTTGTACCGCACATAAATTACTACTTGTACTTGTTTGTTGTACCGCACATAAATTACTACTTGTACTTGTTTGTTGTACTGCACATAAATTACTACTTGTACTTGTTTGTTGTACCGCACATAAATTACTGCTTGTACTTGTTTGTTGTACCGCACATAAATTACTGCTTGTACTTGTTTGTTGTACCGCACATAAATTACTGCTTGTACTTGTTTGTTGTACCGCACATAAATTACTACTTGTACTTGTTTGTTGTACCGCACATAAATTACTACTTGTACTTGTTTGTTGTACCGCACATAAATTACTACTTGTACTTGTTTTTTGTACAGCACATAAATTACTGCTTGTACTTGTTTGTTGTACCGCACATAAATTACTGCTTGTACTTGTTTGTTGTACCGCACATAAATTACTGCTTGTACTTGTTTGTTGTACCGCACATAAATTACTACTTGTACTTGTTTGTTGTACCGCACATAAATTACTACTTGTACTTATTTGTTGTACCGCACATAAATTACTTTGTGTTGATTCTATGAAGGATATAGTAAAAGATACCATATTTTTCAACAGCATGTCATTGTTGAAAGCTTTTTTTTTCCTACACCTTTCTTTAAGTTAAAAGGTTAAAACTTATGTTACAATCACCAAATGTGTAGTCTACTTCATATATATTTCACCTGTAAAACTAATTGATTGTAAGACGGCAGGGTAAAAATGTTCATTGATCAATAAACAGGTGGCAAGAAATTGAACAGGTTTTGGTAACGGGCGGCAATCTTGACCATACCATTGGCTTTGAACTTCTCACGGAAACTGGAGGTCAAGGGTTGAGAATTCTCATGAAGAATGAATCGGGACAGGTGCGCTTCTACCTTTATTTTTTTTAGTTTATGGATTGTGCAAGATTATGCTCTAATATAAATAGTTTACATTATCTTTTAACATTGATCATAATACAGAAAGGGCACGGAACTATTTTTTCCCCCCACCGTTCTTAATTTAGCTCTTCTTGTGGTGGAGCAGCAGCCCGAGTCTGAAGCGTTGCCAGTTTGGCTTGAAGAGGCAGCTGTGGGTGTCTGATGTGGCGGTGACATCGACGAGCCTTATCCTGTCCACCAACCGAGGTGAGGCGTTCATGGGCTACCTGCCTAACAAGAAGCTGGCGGCCGTCACGAAGGACCCTGACGTTAAACACAGTAAGGATTTCCCCAAAGGTAAAGGTGTTACCCAACTGGATGCAGTGTTAAGTTTGATTTATTTTATTATTTCTGTCATCCGTCCGTCACAGTGTGACGATGGTGTAGATTTCAATGCGAGCCTAAGCTGGTTCCCTGGTCATCATATCACCCCTGACCCAGCTGTTTGCATTGTTTGATAACTTAACTTTTTATTTTTATATTTAGAGTGGCGTAATTTAATATTATAATTAAAATTATTCAGAATTTCCCTTTCGCCTTAATACAAAAATGATGAAAAAGTTATTACAAAAGGAAAAACCCAAACAAAGAAAACATGGACCACACCTTGCACTAGATTGAGACTTGAGCCCTTTGCTTGGTTCATTAAATCACTTCAGTAAATAAACTGTTAACAATAAAGACATACGCATTACAAATTTAGATTAATCTGGTTCTTAAATTCACGCGTTAAAAACCTTCACGGGTCATGCGTGTGTTGATATTTATTTTCATTGTCTGATACCAGACTGCGGGGATGGCTTCAGTCAGCCAAGACTCCTTGATCTCCTGCTGAAAGATGAAGTGGAGGAGATCTCAGTGCGGCGCCTGCCGTTTGTACACAGAGCGGTTCTCGTGTCTGCCGATAAGAAAGGGAGAAACTTCTCAGTGCTGCAAGCTCTGCCCAACGGATGGTTAATTTCTGGATACATACTCTTATTAAATTTAGCATATCCCCATTTTTCTTTACAAATTAATTTTAACTCGAGAGAGCTTGTAGAATATTACCAGTAATCTAAAAACTTAAGTATTTCTTCTCATGTGCTACATTTACTTTTTTAATGATATGTCACGACATATTTTGATAAGTTATGGTTTACAATGTATAATGTACTTCACAATAAAAAAATTCTTTCCATTTCATTTTGTGTTTTTAGTCTGTCGGAGCTGCCGTCAGTGAATTCATCAGAGATAAATGAGCAGTTTGGCCGTTTGTGTCGGGAAGCTGATCTACAGGATAACATTCACGATGCTGTCATTCAGGTGGTTTTGATCTTCTAGGTTTAGCGTGGGATACCATGCAATGGAAAACTTAACAGAGTTAATGAAAATGTTTTAAAAAATTTTGGGGGTATTAAACCAAGTCTTTTTGCGATGTGTCGAATTGTCTTTGAAAGTAGAAAAGGTCTTGTGAAGTAATGTTCAAAATTTCTCGTCAAACATCATTGAACTTTATTTTGCGAGATTTGTTCCTGCACATCAGCTAAATAATATCAACCATAAAATATTTATTATGGCGTTATCAAGACATTTTAGTTAACGAACCGATAATGACGTTTACCTTGTTTTCTTGTCCACCAGGTGGGGAACAGGACCTGGCCTGTGCACCAGTACATCATAGCCTACAGGTCGGATCACTTCCGCAACATGGTTGCTGCTGCCGGCACGGCACCCAGGGGAGAGAAACTTGTTCTGAAAGTCGACCATGTTGGCGCTGACATAATGGACCAGTTGATCAGCTTCATCTACACAGACATGTGTGACTATCTGCAGGTAACCATCTCTCCATACACACTCACAGGTCTACACAGACATGTGTGACTATCTGCGGGTAATCCTCTCTCCATGCACACTCACAGGTCTACACAGACATGTGTGTCTATCTGCAGGTAACCATCTCTCCACACACACTCACAGGTCTACACAGACATGTGTGACTATCTGCGGGTAATCCTCTCTCCATGCACACTCACAGGGGCAGTTTCTTTACCTTAACTTATACAGTTATTTTTAAGTCTGTTGTATAGTTTGAAGTATAAAGAATATATGTAAAGATTACACATAAAGATTATGTAAAAAGAGTATGTTTAAAGAATGGATAAAAGATTATGTGTAAAGATTATGCATAAAGATTATGTTCACCTCACATAGTTTCTTAATTTGGGCAACCTTATTAACTGAAATCCAAAATACACATTTTTGTTTTTTGTTTTAAAAGTTACAAAGCTCAACATTTGAGTTCTTCACTATTGAGTCATTGTAAAGATTGTAAGTATTAAGAAACAAGTATATTCACTTCAGTTGATTCCGTGATACCTGGTCTGGAAGCTTCTTTGCCCCTTGTTTAACTGTCCTGATTTCAAACTTCATAGCTGGGCCACAGAGTTCTAAGCCAATCTCTGACCACAGATGAAAGAGACGCACCAGGCAAATCCGACCCAGTCGGCGATGATGCCGACCTGATCATCACCAAAGGGATGTCGGCCTTCCAAATCCATCAGAAGCAGAACAGCAGAGGGGGCAGGAAAGAGGGCAACAAGCCGGGTCAGGGCGAGGTCAAGGACGAGTCAAAACTGTCCCAGAACCCTGTCAAGATGCTGCAAGAGGCGGCGAGAAGATTTGGTGTCAAAGGCTTGTCCAAAAGGTGACATAAAATTTATCGACAATGAATACGACCTGGGGCTTTAGGAACCTTTGTTTACATTTAATTTTTTTTGTTCTTAAAAAAAGTAAAACTAAGCTCCCTTGTTGTTTAAATGTTGAACTCCCGTAACTGCTTAATAGTTTTATTACAGTCTAAGTTTTAGTTTCTTACATAACCTTGTCAGGCCCAAAATGTAAAAAAAAAAAAAATTTTTTAGATGTTTAATAAAATAAGATCTGTTGTTAAGTGTTTTTAAAATAATAACAAGCCAGCCGCCCCCAGGATTTAAAAAAAAAAGAAAAACTGGACATTTCCTAAGATTCTTTTGTCTTTTTCCTTTTTAGGCTAGATGCAGTCAAGTGTAGCAGTCATGTGATCATGTCCCAAGGCAAGACTTTAGCCAAGCCAAAGGTCACGTTTGACAGAAGTAAACTGTAAGTCGGCCATTTAAAAAAAATGTCATTTAGGTGCGGTGGATGATTTTAATTTTTTGGGTGAATTTATGTCATTAGTCTATTCATTATAGCCTCAACATTATGACAGTCTGACTTCTTCTGTGTAAACTTTGTAGCATTGTGATTTATAAGTCGACTGATAGTTGCTCTCTGAAAAATATAATGATTGAAATATACAATGATTGAAATATAAATGATTGAAACATATAGGTGAATCAATAAATACTTGTAAAATTCTGATTGCGCTCGACCGCAGAAAGTATTGTATTGTCCCCACGCAGCCCAGAGCTCTACGACGTGGCCATCAGCAGTGAAGACGGGGAGGAGATCCAGTGCCACAAGTGCATCCTGGTGCCCAGGCTCGAGTACTTCTACAGCATGCTGTCCACAGGCTGGGTGGAGACCTTCAACACCACGACCCTGACCCTGCCCGTGTCTGGGAAGGTTCTGGAGATCCTGATTGACTTCCTGTACAGCGACGACGCCCCAATCCTCAGAGGTGAGCTGAATGTGTCGTTGTGACGTCGGGCGTTTAACGCGGTGGTGGATGTCCCAGACCAATAAAGTCAGTCAGAGTTATGGGACCTAAGTGTTGCGTGTAGCCAAGCATAGTGCTCGGCTTGTTTGTCACTTCAGCGCAGAGCTATTTTTAGGCATTACCACTTAGACTTGGCTCGTTAGTATGACCTTGACAGTGACGTCACCGAGTAAATGTGGCTGTGTCAATCCTTCCTTTGCCCGCCCACTTTTTGGCTGGGAAAAGGTTGGTTACATTATGATGCGTTCCATTTATTGTAAAGCATACCATTAGGAGACAGCAGTTTCTGAGTTGGTCCCTATAGATAGGCTGCATGCTTTTTTAGCTGCAAGACTTAGAGAGGCAGAGCGAGATTTAGATAGACAGCGAGATTTAGATGGATGGCGAGATTTAGATAGACAAAGCGAGATTTAGATAGACAAAGCGAAATTTAGATAGAAAGAGTGAGATTTAGATAGAAAGAGTAAAATTTAGATAGAAAGAGTGAGCTTTATATAGAAAGAGTGAGATGTAGATAGACAGTGCAAGATTTAGATAAATAGAGCAAGATTTAGATAGATAGAACAAGATTTAGATAGACAGAATGATTTAGATAGAGATAGATTTAGATATAAAGAGCGAGATTAAGAAAGAGCAAGATTTAGATAGAGCGAGATTTAGATAGATAGGGTGGTATTTAGACAGAGTGAGATTTAGATAGACAGCAAGATTTAGATAGACAGAGCAAGATTTGGAAAGACAGAGCAAGATTTAGATAGAAAGAGTGATATTTAGACAGACAGAGTGATATTTAGCTAGAAAGAGTGATATTTAGACAGACAGAGTGAGATTTAGATAGAATGATATTTAGACAGACAGAGTTAGATTTGGATAGACAGAGCGAGATTAAGATAGAAAGTGAGAGATTTTTGCCTTGCAAGATTCTGTATTGTTGTGTGTGGAAACAAACATTTGTATTTGAGGATAGCAACTTTTTTCACTAGTTGTAAGACAATAGTTTGTTTCGTTTCTGTTCTCAAATTTGTATGTGTATGAAAATTTATTTTTTATATTATTAAATATTGTCAGTATCACTAGCTTTTGTATCATTTTTTTTAACATACTGTTCTTCTCAGTCCTTTGTTATGGATTGTTTATTATACAAGCCAAATATTATCACAAATTAAGTCTTCCCAACGGTACGTGACACAAGCGTAAGAAAATCATGTTATCGTAAATCTATGTGGGGGGTTTTTTGTTGTTGTTTTCTTGTCATTCCCATAAAAGTATGATTTAGTCGTTATAAAAATTTCAGCAATAACGATTTCGTATTTTAGACCAATTGTCGCGTGCTATGATGACTCGGTACACATTGGATAGTTTTCAGATTGAAAGTCCGTCTTCTTGCAACAGCATCCTGTTAAAATATACTTCATCACCTTTAATTTTCAGACTGTACCAACGAGGAGTTGCTGTGCAATGTTCTGGTGGTGGCCGACCAGCTCCTGGCCACAAGACTGAAGGAGATGTGTGAGGTGGCACTGGCCAACAACAGTAGGTTCAACTTTGGTTTTCCCACTTGGTAACGATAAGTCTGTAGTAAACCGATAAGTCTGTAGTTGACCGTCAATAGGAGATTCCATGATGTCATTCAACAACTTAGATTCCATATCATTCAACAGGTTAGATTCCGTGTCATTCGACAGCTTAGATTCCTTGTCATTTAACAACTTAGATTCCGTGTCATTCAACAGCTTAGATTCCATGTCATTCAACAGCTTAGATTCCTTGTCATTCAGCAACTTAGATTCCATGTCATTCAACAGCTTAGATTCCTTGTCATTTAACAGCTTATATTCCATCTCATTCAACAGCTTAGATTCGATGTCATTCAACAGCTGTCTCTACGAAAATTATAAATGAACAATTTTTATTTTTACAAATTATTTGTAAAAATATTCAATTTCATTCTTCTAAAAAAAAATTTTGGTTTCTAGCAATGCTGTGTTTGTGAAGTTGATTTGGCCTCACACCCCGCCACCCGTTTTTTCATCCAATGTCCATGCAGATCACTTGACTTTGTTCCCATTCCAGTTGCCTTTAAAAATGTTGGTGAGTTCCTCGAGTTCTCCACCGTGTACAACGCCCAGCAGCTGAAAGCAGCGTGCCAGCAGTTCATCTGTCTCAACCTGCCCGCCGTCCTGGAGGCAAGGTAAGACTCAAGCTTTTTTAAAGTTTTTTTTATTTATTTATTTTTTTATTTAAAAAAAAAAATTCCCCAGATTTTTTGGGGACATATCTTAAATGGTAAGACCACCTAAACTGGAGTTGGCTGAGGTATTTTACTACCCAAGAGTAACTGCCTTATTAGGCCATTGACTCAATTCCATTTACTACCTTATTCCATGGAACGTAAAAATGAAATGACTGAAATTGAAACCTGAGAAGCAGGAAGTCATAATGTTGACTTAGGTTGACCAACGGTCTTTGGGCCCCCCCCCCCAAATAAATTTTCATGAAGTCGGTAGCCTCCCGTTCCATATGAACTTGTGTGTACGGTACACTTTCAGCTCAGCCGGTGTTAGGTCATGGTTTTGCTTGTTAAAAATAAAAACCTTAGTTCTCCCATCGATTGTTATTACGACTGCAATTAAGTGAGTGTAATCTGCCTACTTCAGATGCCTGGATGTCTTGAGTCCAGAGACTATGGATGAACTGACAACACACTACAAATCTGTGGTAGGTCTTTAAGTAGCTTTCTCTCATTCTTACATTATTCTTTCATAGAATCGTTTCGTTCATAACCTTTCACATAGCTTCATAACTTCTTTGTGAGGAGATAATCCTTCACCGCTGAGGCACTTGATGTTCTGTCTCATTATGAGAAGATCATTGACATGCACTTTAACTAGTCTTAGATTTTATAAATTTCTTCTATCCAGGTGTTTTAAAAAGTGTGCTGCCATTTTGTCTTCAGAAGTGCAGTTTTTATTTCTTCCTACAGCCCATCAAACAATGGTTGCGGCAATATGTGAACCGCCCCTTTACTAAAGTTATTTTGCAAAATATGCATACGAGTAACGCACTCAAGAAGAATCCCATTTAGTGCTAGCCCGCCCACCCTGGGTGTTTTATCGCAGACTTTATCCAGACATTTCCATGTTCATTTATCCGCCCAGATACCGAACATGGTTTACAGGGTGGTGACCCCTGACACAGACGGCCCAAGCCAAGCCCGCCTGGATGATCTGGTCTCAGAGTTTGACAGCGTCGAAGGAGACAGCCTCATCCAGCCGGCGGACCCGGGCTCGGCCAAGAAAGGCAAGCAGGTGAAGAAAAAGAACAAGGCCAGGAAGAGCTCCAGCGATGACTTTGAGAAGTCTCCGTCCGCCGGAGCAGCCCCCGTGACGATCCCCAGGGTGGACAGGGCCGTCTCACAGGGCTCGGATGTCAGTCTGAGGTCAGAGGAGGATGCTGCGGCTGTAGTTGAGGAGCTCAAGAAACAGGCAGAGGAGGATGAGAAGGTGGGATTGGAATGTTATCTTCATGTTGTTGTGACAACAGTAGTACTGTGGTGTAAAATTGGGAGGGGAGAGGGGGGCTGGTTATACAATCTATTTAAAATTGTATACCCGGCAATGGAAGATGTTACACTCTGGGAGTTGTTGTACCCTATGGGACCTGTTGCACTTAATGGGGACTTTTATCATCCACAGGAGATGTTATATTCTTTGAGAGGTGATATATTCTGTGGGGGTAGTTCTGTTCTGTCAGAGGTGATATGTGCTGTGGGATGTGTTATGTTCTGCCAGAGGTGATATGTGCTGTGGGATGTGTTATGTTCTGTCCGAGGTGGTATGAGCTGTGGGATGTGTTAAATTATGTACTTTATTGGAGATTCTGTACCTTATGAGAGATGCAATACTTTATAAGTTTCTCTACCATTTGGAAGATGCTATACTTTATAACGGGATCTCTACCCTATGGAAGATGCTGTATCAAGTTGGTGGTACCCTACAAAGCTTACCTAATGGCAGATCTTGCACCTTTTAGAAATGTTATTTATTATTTTTTTAAAAGATTATTTATTACATTAGACAGTTACAAATCATTTTGTCATTTCTTCTACTGACACAGAAGCTGCTGGCTCATGCCGCAAGGAGTAAAGAGAATATGAAATGGAGACCTCTGGAACTTGCCTTTGAAAAGATGACTCCCAGACTGTCAGCTCCAACTCATCCAGAGGACGTCCCACAGTGGAATTCCAACTACAAAACCTTATCACGACCCGTTCAACAACCAAGGTAGGAAAATGAGTGCGTCGCTGAGGAGTACTCTAAGAAATTGTAAATACTGATATATGAAATGGTTCATTCCTAGTCAGTCCGCATATTAAATTAGTTTTTAATCTACCCGGCATAATTTCAGGGTTTAGGGTAGTAGGTCTTGTAAGGGGAAATAAAAATAATTTTCACGTTAAAAAATCAAGAAATTGTAAATACTGATATATGAAATGGTTCATTCCTAGTCAGTCCGCATATTAAATTAGTTTTTAATCTACCCGGCATAATTTCAGGGTTTAGGGTAGTAGGTCTTGTAAGGGGAAATAAAAATAATTTTCACGTTAAAAAATCAAGAAAATTGTGAGGAGAGTAAAAGGCTTCAAACTGATCAATATGGGGGGGGGGGATCAGGCAGGGTGGGTCCATTTTCATCGAAGCCATTGCCTTCTTATTCGTCCGATTCATTAAGTCACTGAAGTCATTTAAATTAATGTCGAAATCTGATTTTTTTTTTCACTGTCACTGCCAGAATCATTAAATGGCGAACGGCCATGGGGGTCTAGTTCTTTCAATTGCTTTCAAAGCAATTTTTTTAAGGGGAAACAATTACCACTGGACACTCTTTGTTTAAGCGAGTATGAAAGTAAATGAAGTAAAAAAAGGCGTTCTTTCCTTAGAACTTAAAATAGTGTTGCGCAGTGGATTTTCCGCTTTGCTAAGCAACATAGTAAACAACCTCAAAACGTGCTGGTATTGCTGCAGATAGGATAGTGTAAAAAATGGGTGGTATGCGCTTGTAAAGGGTTAATGGCTGTGCTTTCTCAAATATTTCAGTGGTGAAAACGGCTCAGTGTCTACTCCGAGGGGGTCCGTCCCAGACAGGTCCACGACCAGCCCAGCCTCCCCGTCGCTGATGGCCACAAGTCCAAACAGTCTGAGGGACATCATGCTGCAGGAATCTAAATCTGCTGAAAAGTAAATGGAAGGCGTTCAAATAATGACTTTGTTCTGTGTCGGCTTTACCCGACCGTTTGCTATGATTGTTTTAACTTACTGTTTTTGTTGTTTTCCACTGAGAATGTTTCCCAGTCCCTGTAAATGTAACTATGCACTGTCACACTGTCACTGTGCACTGTCACACTAACTGTGCACTGTCACACTAACTGCACTGTCACACTAACTGCACTGTCACACTGTAACTGTGCACAGTCACACTGTAACTATGCACTGTCACACTGTAACTGTGCACAGTCACACTGTAACTATGCACTGTCACACTGTAACTATGCACTGTCACACTGTAACTGTGCACTTTCACAGTTACTGTGCACTGTCACATATCATATAAAACAAAAATTGCTGTAAAAATTTTGAATAAAAAAAAATATTTTAATTTATCTATAAGTTCTTGTATCTTTAATGAAATAGTAGAACAAGGTGTGCTGAAACTTGAATCAAAAGACACGATGATAATATGAGAACGTTTCGGCTTAGAACCTTCGTCAACAGACAGGACAAATGAAAGTACGACAAGAAGCAGAGCACAGTATTGACCTGTCTTTCGGTTCAAGGCCTCAACATACTTTATTCTACTATTTCATTCACGCAGCTTGAATGCAGTCCTTCAATTACTATCTTATTTAATTTAGCATTATAATAAATTTCTTAATTATCATTCATTTGGGAAATTACAGTTATTCTCTTTTTGTCGTAAGAAGAAATTACCACATATGCCGGCATATAGGACACAGCTGAGTGTAAGATGTACCCCTTTTTTAGTCTGACTAAAATTTCAAATTGTGTGCTTTTATGATTGCTGCATAAGACCCGCCCCATGTTTTAGGCATATTTTGACGGGGTTGGGGGGGGGGGTGCATTCCTGTACGCCTGCATAAACAATACTTTTTACAATATTTACCCATTATTTGAATTAAATATTACATGTCTAATTATGTTTTTGTTTTTTTTTCCTGCAATGCCAGAACTAAAAGCAGTTTCTCTAACCGCATCTCTTGGAAAGATGTGAAGAAACAGCAAAGCAAAGACTCGAAAGAAAAGCACCAGAAACCGGTCAGCTCAGAGTGGACAGAGAAGTCTGTTGTAAACCCTTCTCCCAAGGCGGCCGGCAATCCATGGTTTGTTTTTGAGTTGGACAAAGTGTTTTTGTGGTCAACTGCAGAGTTTTCTTCAATGAGAAAGTGGAGGGGGACGGGGTTATCTTGGATAGCCCCTGGTGGGACTAACCTTGATTTCTCCACACTCAAGCTGGGCGATAGGACATTAATGCATGTTACAGTTATACTGGGACTTACTGGTCATAGGAGGACATGTTACAGTTATACTGGGACTTGCTGGTCATAGTGGGACATGTTACATTCATATTGGGACTTGCTGGTCATAATGGGACATGTTACATTCATATTGGGACTTGCTGGTCATATTGGGACATGTTACAGTCATACTGGGACTTACTGGTCATAGGGGGACATGTTACAGTCATACTGGGACTTACTTGTCATAGGGGGACATGTTACAGTCATACTGGTCATGACAAGCAAGGCCCTTGGGCTTTTGCCAAGTTGGTCACACCCTAACGCCTGGCCAGACTGCCACATTACTGACTCATGGTCACCACCATTATTACAGGGCATCTGTTGGCGGTGCGGTCAAGTCCCTCAGGGACCTGATGATTCAAGAAGAGAAAATAGTGTCTGCTCCCGTGGCCATACCAGCGCCGAGTGCAGGCAGCCCGAGGAAACCTGCCGTCACCAGCAGTGTCAGCAGCAGTCTGGGTTCTTACGGGAAGTCGCCACCTGTCAGCCTGGCCAGGTAAGTTGTGTGCCTTGGCCCATTATGAATTTCTTTGTTCAATGTTTAAAATGTGTTAGTCTTTGTGCATCTGTGCAGACAGATTGGATTTTTCCACCAAGTTTTTAAAAAAAATTTTTTAAACATTTATTGATAATGAGACAATGTAGACTTAACTAGAACACTTGCAGAGTTGAATGTTTGCAGATATTCAGGTGGAGTAAGCACAAAGTCATCTTGTCTGGAAAAAACAAAACAAAATAAAACATATTTGTTCTTGCTTTGTTTTTAAAATTAAATTGTGTTGTTCATTGACATGGTATCCCATTGAGGCGGTCATAGTTTTCTATTCGTTTATCTCTGATGAAATTCTCTTCTCATCAGCTGGGGTCTTTCAAAGTCTTCTGGCGGGAGCGCCGCCTCGGGGGTCGCCACAAGCACATCCGCGCCCTACCAGGCCTCTGCCGGGTCAGAAAATCCATGGCAGCGTCGTACGGTCATAGCATCTAGTCCACCCGTCACGGCCGCGCAGGCCACCTTAAACTTTTCAGCCATTCTTCAAGACGAGAAGGAAAAATCTGAAACTCTTGTCCGCGCCACACAGAAACCCCTGGCACTGATTCAGGTGAAGAACAAATGAAGTAGAATTTTTGTTTTCATACCGCTTTATATCCCCCCTGTCTTTTAACTAGGAGAAGAATTTAAACAGTTGAGTGATTCATGTGGATTTAATCAATTGGTAACACAACTTTATTTTATTTTATTTAATTGGTTACTTTAGGCTTGGAACACTCATTATAATTTAGAACCAAACAAACATCAGGATTTTTTGGGGGGTAGTTTTGCATGATAATGAAACAAACCCTAAAACCAAAGTTTTCGTACTGATCCTTTATAAAAATTTAATATTGAGGAAGAGGGGGGGGGGGGGGCTGAAAATTTGACAAAACATATGCACTCAAGTATACTTTATAAGAATCCCAATTAGTGCTTGACCGACATCCCCCCCCGGCTTGCAGCCGCACATTTTTTTCATGCCTCAGTACTATATTAATACTCTAATGACCCACCAGCTTTTACACCGCAGATTCATTTCACCTACCATTTCAGAGAAACAAAAGATAATATAATGCACTTGCCATAATTTTTTTTTTAAAGCAGCTCATTTAGTACATTTATTGGGAATTTATTTTGTGAAATCAGTGTCATCATCTTTTATTCATCTTCTTCTTGAAAAACAGAAAAAGGTTATTTTTGTGGGTGGGCCAGAAAATTTGATAGAATGTTTTACCAAGGTTCAGTTTGATACCTTGATGGGAAGTAGGTCAATTAGTGGTTCTGAAGATTTTGCCAGCCACTTTAGTTAAGTAGTCTACATAAGTAGTGATGCTATACCAGAACCATTGAATTGTCAATCTTGTAGAAAATTGTCACCTCTGTTAAACATGAGACATCATTCTAAACTATTTATTTCCTGTTGCTTACAGCTGGAAGAACAGGCCATGAACGAACTGCTGAGTCACTATAAGGCAGACATGGACCCCGACAGGTACATCACCGTGGAGAGGGTCAGCAAGGCCATGGCCGCCCCGTTGTGGCACAGGGATGCCAGGCCTTCTGGAGCCAGCTTTTTGTGATGGCCAATCGGCTGTTAAGTTTCTGTAGATTTAACCTGTAGGGTTCTTGCATGATTTTTTTTTTAAAAGTTAATTTAGTTTCTGCTTTGTTTTAAATGTCAAACAAAGACATAGACATTGTCAATGATTTTTGAAGTTGTTAAATATACAAAAAATTAAAATGTCCACCTGGTGAATTACTTTGCATTTAGTTTGTGGCCACGTTAGAATCATATACATTATTTTGATGTGAAGGCTGAACATATTTCAATTTCAAAGGCCCCAGTTTTGTAATAAGTCCTTGTTCTTGAAGAATGAGAAGGACTAAATCAGGTGATAAAACTTGTAGATCTGTGCATGGCGAATGAAAGCTTTAGAATAGTCTGAGCGTAAGTTTGTGTAGATGCAGGCCAGAGCCCTGCATGAATGGTCAGCCAGAGCCATGCATGATTGGTCAACCAGAGCCCTGCATGAATGGTCAGCCAGAGCCATGCATGATTGGTCAACCAGAGCCCTGCATGAATGGTCAGCCAGAGCCCTGCATGAATGGTCAGCCAGAGCCATGCATGATTGGTCAACCAGAGCCCTGCATGAATGGTCAGCCAGACCCCTGCATGATTGGTCAGCCAGACCCCCCTGCATGATTGGTCAGCCAGACCCCCCTGCATGATTGGTTAGCCAAAGCCCTGCATGATTGGTCAGCCAGATTTTTTCAAGAACTTGACCTCCAGGCTGTGTAATTAAATCATCTGCTTAAAACATCTTGCTCTCATATGCTTGGATTTTTTTTCCCCACAGAGTTGAATGAATTTTATTAATTGATACCAAATTGCTTTGTAAATCAACATAGTTTAGTTTATATTAGTAAATTGCTAAAATACTTGCATCTTCAGAAATTGAAGATGGGTCTGACCTACGATGAATTGGTCTTATTTTTATCTGGACATTGAAATATTTAGTTTTGGGTACCTGTGTGTGTGATGAATATGCGAATTTAAGCCTCAGTGAGTGTTATTTTTATGAGTTATCATATGATTGTAAGCAATAATAATAGTAATTATCACTACTGAGGTATAAGAAAAAGATGGGTATTGGCTGATATTAAAAAGAAAATCTTGTTGTGCCTTGACTAAAAATGTTTTAAACCAACATCGAGTTAGCTGCGGTTTAATCAATGAGCTGGTTCAGTTGTTGTTTTTTTATAGCTCAGGGGGTTGTACTTCTTCCCCAAACAAAGTGGCCTTCCTGTGGTGACAAGTCCATCTCAACGAGATATTTGACCCTATCTGGGGACAACCCATGGCAAGTCCATCCCATCCAGCTATTCGACAGTAGCTGGGGACGACCCATGGCAAGTCAATCCCATCCAGCTATTTGACCATACCTGGGGGCAACCCATGACATGTTTGAACTAACTACATCTGGGGTTAGATATTTAATGAAAATGACCTGGTCCTGCTAAAAGGCCATCCCGGGCAGTATTAAATCTCCAGTGGTAGATTCAAGTTCAGGGGCACTGACTGGGATGCATGCCCTGACCGATGCGTCATGTTCTATTGAGCAACATATTTATTTTTGTAATTCTACCATTGCTGGATCTGTCACTGATCGTCACTCAATTAACTCAATGCTATAATTTTGAGTTATTTCTGGATTTCTTAATGCAAAAAAAAAAAAAAACTGCTGAATATGAATGAACTAGATTGTTCACAAGTGGTTATCTTTGTACTGCATTTTTTGTTAGTGGTTATGTTTATTGTGTATAGTGTGAGTCATGTGCAAAATTAATTAGTGTCAGTAATGTGTAAACAAACAGCTTATGCAAGATGCCACATGAAATATACAAAGATGTTATAATACAATGTAATGTTATAATACAATGTTATTTTATAATACAATGTAATGTTATGAAATCTCTCATCTCATATGTTGTTTTACAGATTCCATGTTAAGATGTTTTGTGATGATTTATTTAGTTGTGATAAATCATGCAAGTGGAAGAATCATATCATCATCATCAGCCCTCCCCTTTGCCAGCAGCTGTTTTAAACGATTTTTAAAAATATCCCAATAATAATTTTTTGTTTTGTTTTTAGAGTGTTGGTTTTACAGTTACTGTAACGTTTCTGACCTCTGGATATTTTTTTTTAATAAGCATCCCAAATACTATGGCAATGGCCATATCCCCATTGTTAATGTTGTGTGTATCATAATAACATGAAATTATGAAGACTTTGTTCATTAAAAATTGTGTTGAGACTTTCAATGCATTAGTGAAGATAATGGATGAGTTGCATTTTGTTGTAAATATCCATTCATGTGGACATTTAAATGTGTACATTTAAAAAAAAAAATGTGTTGTTTTTTATAGTATATTTTTTAATGTAAAATATACTGGTGTTTACTGACGTTAGAAAAACATTTGACTTATTCTTATCATATTACTATGCCTCATCTTTGTCATTGTAATCTACGGGTACATCATGACACCAGCCATGTCCAGTTAATGGGATGTGATGTACGGTACATCTGTTTGGACACATTGTTGTCAAATGGAAGCTGACTTGTCAGTCAACAGGGTTGTTTTAATCCAGCGGTTCTCAACCTGTGGGTCGCGACCCGTTTGGGGGTCGCACGACCCTTTCACAGGGGTCGCCTAAGACCATCTGGAAACACATATACTCTACAGTTATAATTGTGTCGTTGGGTGTCGTCACACACGAGGAACTGTTATAACGGGTCCCGGCATTAGAAAGGTTGAGAACCACTGTTTTAACCCAACTGTTCCATTCACATTTGTATTTAATGTCTTTGTTAAAAGTGAATTTCAATACAAATAAAAACATGTTTCATCAAGACAGACTCCTTTAAACTAGATAAAAAAATAACTTTGTGAGCTTTGATGGTATTGAAGGTTCTCACATTTTTATTTATACGTCAAAAAAAAAACCCCAAAAAACCAACATGCTCTGGTGGTGATAAAATTATAGCAAGCTTAGATTTTAATTTGAAAACAATTTGAATAGCATAGACGTTACTATTAATAACACACCTATTTTAAAAACAAACCATCAGCAAATACACAGTAGCAACACTGCATATATTTCATGTCTAACACAAGTCAAGCTATAACAAAAATATAATAAATATAATACACAGTAAATAAATAGTAAGAGCATAGCTAAACATTACATATATATGTATATATGCCCCATAAATAGTAAGAACATCCAGTCCCATCTTGTATTTTGCTCATCCACATTTCACTTTTCTTAAGACCAAAAAAATATCTATATATGCCCCATAAATAGTAAGAACATCCAGTCACATCTTGTATTTTGCTCATCCACATTTCACTTTTCTTAAGACCAAAAAAATATCTATATATGCCCCATAAATAGTAAGAACATCCAGTCACATCTTGTATTTTGCTCATCCACATTTCACTTTTCTTAAGACCAAAAAAATATCTATATATGCCCCATAAATAGTAAGAACATCCAGTCACATCTTGTATTTTGCTCATCCACATTTCACTTTTCTTAAGACCAAAAAAAACAAAAATGTACCCTGAAATAAAAACCTCTGCAAGTGAAACTTGGGTCCCAACACAAACACTATAGAACAACCTGTGAAACACATGGGAGAGAAAAGGGAACTGTATAGTCTATGTCAGGATCCCACGCTAGAGAGATTTAAAAAAGGGCAGGCTTCGTTGGGCGGGACACTTAGAAAGGATGACGGAGGAGTGAAGAGGGTGCACCGCCGAAACCCCAAAGGGAAACGGCTCAAAGGCAGACCTAGGCTTAGATGGAAGGATGAAGTGGCTGGGAATCCAAGCATGGAAAAGAAAAGCACCAGTTATGTCTTAGTGGAAAGAAGTGGTGAGGCAGGCCAAAGCCTTACATGATACGAAGTGCCACAGAGATGGATGAAATTACAACGTACCCCTTTTGTTTGACCCGCAATTTGTTTGACCCGGGGTAAAATTTTGAATTTCAATTTTTGCAGTTATTTGTTTGGGTCCTAACTGGGGATGCTTTTGATAAACTGAAAAGATTCAAATACCCTCTACTACTACTGGGGACAACTTACCAGTATGACCTAATTACATCTTCCATTTACACGCATATAAGGTCCATATGTTACGTTATTTCCACATACAGAACTAAGCTCAACAACTAGTTTTTTAAAAATTTTTTTACATTTTTTATGTATAATGAAATTGAGCATATTATTACCCACTCCATTTATATTGTCACAGAAATGGAATGACGACTACAACAACAAACTGAAGTTAGGGGAGGAAACACTCACTCCCGCATGCACACCAAAAAATGATTCATTTCATAGCTTGCCGTTCATTCTCTCAATACAATGGCCTTAAGCAGTTTAAGGTGTTGTACCTGACACTGAGGTGTTTTTAAGGTGTTGTCCGTAAAACAGATTCTGTTACCTGGCATGGGTTTATTCTATCCTATTGAGCAATAAATGGAATGTGACCTGATTCACTAAATGTCTGCTCCCAAGTACAAAGTCTCACTGGTGATTAAAAAATTCATCTAAAAAAAAAAAACAAGTGTTTCAAAGCTGCATAAAAATATCTCCTCAGACATACACCGAAACAAAAGACATTCAGTTGTGTAGGCGAGTTGAACTATCACAGATAAAGCATTTTAGGCAATTTACAGTATTAATTCAAGCTCCTTCTCTTCATGTATAATAAACCAAATCCGGATATTTGTTTGAAAGAAATTTGGTAGACGGAAAATTGATCAAACGGAAGTTTGTTTCAATCTTTTTTTCAGTTCACAAGTTAAAATTTTGAGTCAAATTTCTTTTTGAATGCTTTTAATTTGTTTTACTTCATAGTATTGTGCGTTCAAAAAGAAATCTGACGAAAATTAAATCGTGTGAACTGAAAAAAAAATTAGACCAAACTTCCGTTCGATCAAATTTCCGTCGAACAATTTTCCATTAACGAAATTTCATTCAAACAAATTTCCAGTAACCATAATAAAGAAAAACTAATCAAAATTACTGGGTAATTCTGTTTAAATTCTTTCTTTTTTTTTTTAATTGGTGAAAGTGAAAGATAGTTAAAAATGGAGTATTGAATTGTATTTTTGAACAAGCGTGAAATAAAATACTGGACTAAAAGACATTTTGAACTTGTCCTGACCTTTTGAACTTGTCCTCAACTAGCAGAGAGCTGTTCGGCAGGAATTTTCACAAGTTATGAAATACTCTCCGGTGAAGTCATTGACCACTTGAGTTCTTTATTTACGACTTGAGCTCTTTACAAAAAACTGAAACTTCGACACAATAAACTCTCAAAGTTGGGGAGGGGGGGGGGGGCTTATTGGCGCACAAGCAGCATGCGTGATGAGCACGCTTTACCCACAAAGCTAGCATACTCCTTAACTTCAGCCTCATCGTCACCTGCTTCATTGGTTTGTTGATAGAAACAATAGGGTAAAATGGTGCCATTGTTCAGCACTAGGACCTGGCCAACATCGATATCTGACTCTTTATCCTCTGTGGTAAAAAAAGTAAAATATGCTCGGTAATGGTTTTCATACAGTTCTAAATCTGGGCGGCAGAGTTAATTATTTCATTTGAAAAGACTCAAAGAGTTGTGGTTACTGAATATTTGAAAAAAAAAAAAAAAACTATTTTATTTCTAAACAAGTCCTGTACTGGATGAGTATAATAAATGTCAGCCAAAAAAATTTAACCATGGCTTGAATTAAGTAATTATAAGAGTGTGGACCATGGCTTGAATTAAATAATTATAAGAGTGTTGGACCATGGCTTGAATTAAGGAATTATAAGAGTGTTGGACCATGGCTTGAAGTAAATAATTATAAGGATGTTGTACCATGGCTTGAATTAAGTAAATATAAGAGGGCATTATTTGTGAGTGTAACAAGAAAGTTTTTGAATAAAACAGACAAAAAAAATTTTGGCTACAAGAATTGATCCATTAAACACAAAGTGTGTGAATTTAAATTCCACACGATGTATAAATAGCCTGCCTGCAGAATAAAAATGACAGGAATAGAAAGACAAAAATTTTTTTTTAAAAAAAAGACCCAAATGCCCTACAAAGAGGAAGGAAAGAAAGGAAGTGGCTGGAGAGTCAAAGTGCCCTGACACAAATCCATAATTTGTTTTCATTTTTTTTTTTTCGATAACCAAAACTGAAACCGTTTCGATGATTTAAATCAAAATGGTCAGAGTGACGATGTCGCCCTACTCCGCCAACTTACCATCTTCATCCCCAGAGAGTCTGGCATATTTGCTGGCATCTAGCTTGGCTCGGCATTCCTCAATAGGCAGCCATTTGTAGGTCTCGGGGCAGGCCAGGAATGAAGGAACAAACTGGCCCTTGTATCGCATCTTGGTGCAGGAATGGATGTAGAAGCCCATATAGTAATACTTGAGGTCTGGTGCCGATTTCTGGAGTCTCCTGACTAGGGCAAGCTCCCTGGGGGACATAAACTTATCCCATGAGTTGAAAACAAAGGCAATGCATAGTAAACTAGCCTATACAGAATACCAAACAAAATGCAAAACAACAAAAAAAACCAACTAACAAAAGATGTTTTCTTTGCAGAAGACAATTTAAAAATAATAAAAAATACACTGGCTTAAATTCAAGTACAAACCTTTATTAGGGTTAGGGTTAGAGGTTAGAGGTGACAGTAAATCACAGACAGTAATCAACCATGTTTTGTTTACTCCTCATAAGATGTAACTAACTGTGTAACCTTTGACCCTTTGAAAGTGACACCGATAAGTGTCTCAACGTTAATGATATTCTGCCCCCCAGAGCTGTGCTGGGCACCCAATCATGTGAAACGGAACTTGGTTGGCCATTGTAAGGGTGGGGGGTGTGATAGAGTGACCCATGAGCTCAATTTCCTTCCTTTCATGTTTTTAAAGTGGCACATACCATAAAAAAAAAATTTAATTGAATTATCGGTAAATTAAATCTCTGCAAATAAATTTGCCATTACAACACCACTCAAAAAAATAACTTTACCTCAAAGCAGAGTAGACCCCCAGGCCAAGAAAGCTGTATTCGGGATCATAGTACAAGTACACGGATGAAACACAAGAGGGGAGGATGTCTATAACCCCTACGGCAATTATCTTGCCGTCAAGGATGTACTGCTGATGAAAGGATCCGTAACCCTCGGGCGGTCCGTCTGATTCGTGCAGCTCCTGAGAGAGATGGCATTCGGTGAATAAACTGACAATCCCCATTGGAATAAAAATTTTGTGAAAGTGTCACTATATGAACAAAAAAAAAGAACCTTGCAACCAGCTCTATTTTTTATAAGATCACAAAATTGAAACATTAATAGAATTTTTAAAAAAAATATTTTTTTAAAATTTTAAATTAATGCTTTAATTTTGTGATCTTATATTTTATATGAAACGAAATTGAAACAGTAATTTAAAATTTTAAAAAATAAATATTTATTTATTTATTTTTTTTTAACTAGTAAACCTTAAGCAGATGTAAGCAGCATAAGTAAATATTTGTGTAAAATTATAAACTAGATTGTAAGAATAATTCTAAAAATCTTGACCGATTCAAATTTTTAAAGACTTATTTTCCAAAGAGTATTTCTCGGTGTGGATGAATCCAAATATTTCACAGAATGTTGATTAACTCAGGAGGCACTGAACGAAAATTAGTTTGAGTTTAAATATACTAAACATGGTGATTGTTGTAACCCAAATCACCAAACTGATTGAGCCCATCACAGTACGATTGGTACCTATGGTAAAATACTTTCCAGACAAGATCAGCTGGATTAAGCCATTCACAGTAAAAAATTTAAGTGTTTTCTAGTACACTGACTTTCCTTGAAAATATTTCCAACTAGCTGGGGCACGGCATTCATGTTGCACGTGTACATTACAGGAAGAGGTGCATAATCTATAAATGAATCCAAATGGCCCTCTGCTCAATATGTTCTGTGTTCTTTTGTGTGCATTACGGTGGTCATGTGCGCACGATGGGGAAAGTAGCAAAGAAGACAGCAATACGGTGCCCAATGAGAGCAGGGCAGACAAGAAAGATCCATTCTGGAATAAGTATTACCAGCGGGTATCGCTAAGAGCACATTGAAAACTAAAGGAAAATAATAGTATGTCTTATTTTTTTTACTCCAAAAGCTTTAGCTGAGGGAGGTAAGATGTCAAACTTTTTTTCCCAAAGCGGGTTAAGCTGTACTACCTTTCTTGAGCGGGGCGGACAATGTCTACCAGGGTATTATTATAACAGATAGATAACAAAACAAATTTCAACATTTCATAATCAACATGCACAACACTTAAGCATGCACAAGCGAGCAAAAGAACTGACTGCAATATTTTGATATGTCCCGGTATGAGATGATGAAATGTTCCAGTTTCTGAATATCACAACTGCTTTAACATCAACAGCTAAAACATTATTTCAAAATTTGAAAGTGTGTTTTTTGGGGGGGGTAAATGGTGAATGAAGCCACATTTATCATTACTGAAGCGTTCAAGCAAAAGCAGTACAGAATTGAGCCTAAGACACTGACAAAAGGAGAATGTGCGTCACCTCTAGAGGTGAATCCACCAGAAAGTTTTTGAATCCTTTCTTCTCGCACTCATCCGCTCGATCTCTGTGCACGGCCATCTGATATTTTTTGTAGATTGAAAACGATTCCTGGAAAGACAGGCGCATTCTGCGAGACTCTGGTGCCGTGCGGCACAGCAATATCTACGGGAAGATAATAAAAACAAGGCGTGATGACATGCGGAACTTCAGGATTCTTTAGCCGAACAATCCTGATGAATAATAATGATGGCCAGACAAGAATGAAAGATGACACAAGATTTTTAAGAAAAAAATGTTCTTTATATATTGAAGGAGAATCAAAAAATTTGAATAGCTTTCGAAGACTTTTAAAATTACTCAAACGTAGAAGGAGAATAAAAAAATTAGAATAGCTTTCAAAGACTTTTAAAACTACTCAAGGAGATTCAAAAGTTTAAAAATTCAGGAACGAAACAACATAAAAGAATTAGATAAAAAATTAATAAAAAGTTGAAATTGTGAGTTGTCCTTTTTTTTTTTTTTTGTAAGCTGCAATGACATCATGCTTGAAGCGCCTGAGCATAGAGAGTTCAAAATTATTTAAATAAAGGTAAAATCTATAAAAAATGATTTCCATAGAAAGGGCAATCATTTGTTATGACGCATTCAACCCCCAAATTTTGATACAGAAAAAAGCTAGAAAAAGCAAGGCTCTGCATCTTTTGTTGTTGTTGACGTTGAAGCAGTTTTGTTGAAAGACTGAATACAGGTTTGCAAAGGTTCCTTCAACTTGCTTGTGCATGCCGGCATTTGTAGTGTTTTTTTTTTAACTTTACCCTTAGAGGAGAATCACAAAGAAAGCGTTTGAACTGACTAATAACAGGCTTTGAGGGCGGGTCCCTGTGGACTGTCAGCTGGTACTTGTAGTACACAGTGTGGGAGGAGTCCAGTGTGGAGGAGAATAGCCGACTGGGAGGGTTTGACCTCAATAAACGGAGCTGATGGGGAAAGTTTTGATGAAACATTACAACATTTAAAAAAACAAACAAAAAAACACAATACATCAATCGTAGGCTAGTGTTTATAACATTTTTTTGTTGTAATGGTGTTCTAGCACGTCATGAGATGATCTCGTCAGCTTAGTTTATAGGAACATTTGTGAGCTAACAGAGTAAACAGAAGCATTTCTTCTTTGGTTGTTATTTATTACATCTTGGGCCTACACCTCAGCACAGACGTGCATTACGCCTCAGCGCAGATGTGTTTTTCCGCCTGCTCTGTTACCACCATCGTAAACGTCTGCTCAATAAACACTTGCTCTACTGATTAAAGGCAACAGTGACAATTTGGCCATGACCCCCCCCCCCCCCCCCCCCCCCCCCCCCAACCTCAACAACAACCAAATTTGATGTCAACAAAGATCTAAACCAAGATTACACTTGTTACGAATGTTACCGTTATTAAAACTAAAATAATTGACCTCTAGCTTGTGGGCAGGATTTTCCACTCGGTCTGGCTCACTAAGGAAGTCCTCGAGGCTCTTTTCTTGACTTCGCTTCACTTTTTTCTGGGAAAAAATGACGAGTGCTTTATTTCACAAAGTGTGAGTTTAAAAAATTGAAGATACAAGGAGACCTGGTAACTCTCAAACTTCCGAAATCTAACAACATGGTCTTAACATCGTAAATTTGTGTATCTGAATGGTAAATAAATAAACATACAGCATAATGTATACAAATACTACCCCCGCGCGTCGAGCCGGATTGAGTTAGGCTGCCGTAAAAAAAGGGCACTTCGAATCACAGATGCCTGTCATTTATATTGCAATCTGCGGCTGCTATGTTTTGCAGGCCCTACTGGTGAAATTTAAACTTTCAGTCAAATCAGCATAAAATGAATTTTGGTCATTGAAATTAGAATTTATTTACAAAATGAGGACCTCATTTACAAATTCACTTGAGATTGATTTTTTGAGTGAAAAGCTGTTTTTGTTGGGTTTTATTAAAACATCATCATCCTTTAAGCCTAGGAGCCCGATGTTTATTTCCTGTTAACTACTGCAAGCTGTAAATGGGGGAAAGGAAAATGTAGGAGTTTTGGAACCAAACTAGATTTTTAAAAATAGTGAAGCTGTTTGTTAAGTTCTAAAAACAGATTTCAAAGGCCCTCTCAGATACTATAAAATGTGTCAAAAGATAATTTTGCTGTGTGAAACATTTGAAAATGGTACAAAAATTAGTCTTCTCCCCACTTTCACAACAGCCCAGGTTCAGCCAAAGGAAATAATTATGTCAGGAAATTACATCATGCAGCAAAAATGTGTGAATCCTCACTAAAATTGTCACTTGGGCATATAAGCTAAATGTCCTGTTGCCGCAAGTTCATTGCGAAAACACTTGAGCATCAATATGACGACCGTGTTATTTTTAAAACCATCCCCCCCACCCACACACTAAATATCCCGAATCAACAACACCCCCTTCCCCTCTCCGTAATATTATTATCCATGTTCCCCAACCAATAGTTCTTCCTCCATTCACTGCAGGATGCAGAAAGGAGCTACAACTAACAACCAAAAACATTATTTATTTGTTTTTGAATTGAAAAACTTCCAGGATATTATTTTTTTCTTAACCCAGTCTCTTAAAATATCCATTCTGACAGATAAAGACCTGAACAACAGTAAAAGACAAGTCAAAATTGTATATTGCAGACTGAAATTATAAGAGTAACCACGTATGTACCGGTTAAATTCTTTTAAAAATAGTACTTCAATTTTCGCTTTTTTGAAGCGGAAAATATTTTTAATGAATGCAATGTAGAAAACTACTGACATCATTTTGCCTATCCTGGTAAACAATTGTCTTTATTGTATCCAAAAATTATTATGTGACATGATCTCAAATCAACATAATGAAAACCATAAGGACACCAGAATGATACTGTACAAATCAGTTTTTTAAAGAGACCAGTTGCCAGTTCATAGATAAGTTGCATTCTGGCGGCGCATGAATGTTGACGTGAAATTCCTGAGGAACTGGTAGTCAAGAAGAATAAAAAAATGTCTCCTGCTTCCATTTTCCCCTTGTGCAGCATGACAGTTTAAACGAATAAAATGGCTGACCTGCTCTAGAGGATGATCTCCCTTCTGTCCTTCTTTCTTAGCTTTCAGTTCTGCCCTGATCTCCTTGGCCTTCCTGCACTTCGGTTTCCTAGGGTCAGGCCCTGCTCCTGAAAGATTTACTTTCCTTAGTTCATCCATGTGTCAACTTTTCTCATAATATTGATAAATAATTAGAGTACATCTAAGTCTAAGCCAATCATGCATATCCTAGTGTGCACTGCTTATTAAACCAGCCTGGTTCTCTGACAGAAAAAACTAAAAATAAATTAGCTTCATTCAAAACAGAAAAAAAAAGGGGGGGGGGAGTGATATTTTTAGGGCAATAGCTGAAAGTATGTTCTTTTTTATCATAGGGCATTCCTGAAGAAGGAAACTCTGAGAATGTTTCTTTAATATGTTTTTATGAGACAGAGAAAGAGTCTTTTCATGCATACTGTGGGGTTCATGGGACAGAGAAAGAGTCTTTTCAGGCACACTCCACACTTCAAGAAAAAGCAAAGTTTGTTACACTTTTTGTTTTTAATGACTAAAAGTAAAATCATAAACAAAAAAAAATGTTAATGAATTTTTCGGTAAATGTCTATATTTTGGTACATGGTATGAATTTACAGTCCAAAGTTCATTTGGTTTTCGCTCCTATTCCACAATGAGCCAGGTAAGCCGAGAAACTGATAATAAACAAGCCACATATAAATCAGAATGCGAAAACTCTCTGACGTAAATTGAGGGGGAAACGCAGATACATGAATTTTTAAAAAATAAATTGTGATCAAATTCAGATTTTTTAAAAAGATTTTTAAAAGTGTGTTTTCCAAAACTACCTGATTTAGGAATATGCTTCTCAGATGATGTGTTACTGGTCTGACTGATCATGGAGCTCTTTGAGCATTTAGCTGACAAGCTTTGTGTTTTACTTGAAGACCCAGAGGCTGCTGAGGTGTCACTTCTGCTGGCCTCTGTGTCTTGTTTGTTCTGGGAGTAGAATATGTGTAGTTCTTAAAATGGACATAAATAACTATGTCTCAAAGGGGAGGTTATTCCCCACCATTGCAAATGTAAGCCATTTCTAACCCAGGGATAGAATACGACATCAAAAGTTATTTCATGATAAATGTGCCAAAATCAAAGTAAATTAAAAAATAATTTTTACAGCTGTACAAGGGAATTCTATTTTTTAAAGAATATTTTTGCTTCAATTGTATTATTATTTTGATTCAAAAGGTTTTCTAAAGAAAAGTCAAAATAGCTTCAACATAGGTAATAAATATCTCCTAGTTACCTCACCACAGCCAGGCATGACGATATTACTGGGATTTGCTTTCTCTGCCAGAGAGCTCTCCACCCCTTTAAGACCACCGAAACTCTGCTCATCACCGCCACCATCTTCTGGCTTCCTCCCGCTCACTGAGCCATCCTGGGCACTTTTTATTCCAGTTATGAGATATCGGTTAACTTTTTTAATCTGTTTTTTGTGAGACTTGTTGAGTTTAAAATTCAGCGCCTCGCATCGAATGGGGTACTGCGGGCAACATGTTACACTCATAGTTGGTTTGTAGCAATACTTTCCACTCCTAGAGCAGAAATAAAGTTTAAAAGATTATTCATGATGCCTTTGCAAAAAAAGATCATGTGACAAAAGTTTTATAAAACAAACCACATGAAAAGGAGAATTAAGAAGTAGCCTATAGTTTTATCTATCATTGGTATCATACAAAAAAATTTTGAATTTACCAAATAGTCCTGCTGTAATTTAAATGGAAAAGAAAAAAAGAACAAATATTTATTAGAAAGAAACCATTTTGACAGGGCTGACAAGAAATAAAATAAATTTTGTTACCTCCGCCATCCTCTATCAATAAGATCCTGATAATCTATGACGGTCATTTGATGAGCCCACATTCCTGCAAAGTATAACAGTATAATAAAAGTAACAAGTAAAAATTAAAACATTGCAACAATTGTTCATTTGAGTTTATATCAATACTCAATTATGTTATTTTAATTAGCCTAGCTATTGCCCTAAAAATTTTAATTAAGCAAAGCCAAGGGCTAAATAATTATAAACTTAAAAAAGCATAGGTCTATACTTTAACTGCCCATGAGTCATGAGTTATACAATTTATATATAGGCTGTAAGCTAATAAAATAAAATTAATATGTCTTCTCTCCATATCTAACACAGCACACTCAGATTCAGCCAAACTCAAACCATTTTTTAAAAATGTAGGACCTAGTTAAAGTTAAGTCGATGTTGTTTTGTTTTTTTTAAATTTCTCCACCAACACATCATAGTTTTTCCCCAATATTTCCAGCCATAATTTAATTTACATCACATGCTTCTTTTAGGCATATACCTTAAAACTTAAAACATTATCATTATCATTGATGTCATGTCATGTTCATGTGTATCTAATAACACCCAACTTTAAGTACGTGGTAAATGTGCCAACTTGGTGAGTAGGCCTCGTATCATTTCACAGTTTTATCTTGACAAATTGACAACACTGCAAAATCTGCATTGTGGGGACTGTGAGACTCACTGGAGGTTAAAGCTTTCTAATAATATTAATTTGATTGACGTTAGCCTAGTTCACTTACTAGTGACGTGTAAGTTAGTAGGCAGAATCACATAGGTCTAGGCCTAGGACAGCCTAGGCCTAGGTTAAACTTAAAAAAGTTAAGCCTAAGTAAACTAAAAAGACTAAGTAAGATTAAGATTAAGATCTAAGTAGTACTACCGAGTACTGCCTGGCCTAAGCCTAAGCTGCTAAGCTCACCGTGAGAATAATTAGTATCCGCAGATCCACAATAACCACATTTATATCGTTCATGTTCAGAAAAATACTCAACAATAGTTGGGTCTTTAGTCAAAGACAACATCTCCGAAGTCATCTCTTCTGTGTCTGTAGTTACAGTTACTTTTTCCTTTTACTACAAATTTATGAGAAAAGCAACTGAGTAACCACAGGAGATCTTTTTCGAGGAAATCATTTATGGTACTTGGCAAATTAAAAATATTTTCCAAATGGTAAAAAACAATATATCTTATTTTAGACAGGACAGGCTTTGGGATATACTACCATTTTTATTTTATAGATAAAACTCAGGCTATTATCACACTCAAATACACAGAAACAATATTTTTCAAAGTTGGAAACCTTAGAATAACCATTTAATCACATTCCTAACAATTTTCTGATATTAATTTTCCTGAGTTTATTTCTAATATTATATATATAATATATATTATATATCATTACATAAACATTTATGAATATGATATATAAACATATATATTTTTTAAAGTTATGTATTTGTAAGTATCTTGGTTTTATCTACCAGTGCGCCTCTCACAATTCCTTTAATTTTTGTTTTACTTTTTATCCCCATTGTGTCCTTTTAAAAACGTTTCATACGATGATTTTTCAGAGTGACAGCATCAGTCTGACAGTGGCAGTGGCAAAGGCAGGGGGTATATGTGGAGCTTTTTTTATTTACATGGAAGGGTGGCATTTTCAGGCATCTTATGCAGAGGTTTGCCTAAGAGCAGCCACTATAAAATTATGGGTAATGCTTATTCGAGCCACTATAAAATGATTGGTCATATTTAATGGGACATGGTTTTCAAGCAACCATAAATGAGGCGGAAAAAATCCTGTCTCGCCCCGGATGGCACTAACCCTAGCTACGCCCCTGGATTAGAAGAGATCTTTACTTTCAGTGCCGGGACAAGAGATGTGAGGGTACGTGATGTGTTCCCGCAGCAGACGCCTTCGTCGCAAAAAAATATACCGTCGCTATCGCGTGAAGCCTTTCAGAAGACATGACCACGAACAGCGCAAAGTTCAATAACTGGCTACAAATAAGACTCGATTATGTTACGCACCCGACGGTGCCTTGTGAATTGGAGTTTCATGGATACGGAGGAATAAGGCCGGCTCTGTCCTTAAAGTGTCCAGTGGGATACATTATCAATGCACATTTATAGTTCAAATTGGCATCCCTAATTAATTTTAGCTCGAATGGGATCACTGGGATCAGGGTTTGAGAGTAGCCGTAGGCGGTGCTGATCCTATTTTAACGCTGTGGTGCTAAATCTGGCTTTCTTCTTTAATTTTTAATGACCTGTACTTTTCATTGTTCGGTACTCGCAAACGAATCGCAAGGTTAACTGTCAAGAGTCCCATAGTGACGTATAGGCCCCTATATAGCCCCGCCCCCTCTCCCCATACACCTTTTCGGTTCTCTCGCATGCAGTACGCAGTGATGTAATCGATTGAAAGATAAAAATTGGAATCAGCTAAAAATAGATCAGAGGCTGGAACATCCCCACGGTCACCGTTGTGCACTCGAGAAGAAACACGTGACGTCGAACGTGGAGAGGGGTCAATTTGACAAAACACAGAGGCGTTACCTCCAAGTGATCATAGAATGGTATTATACAGCTATTTCACAATAACTTATCTTTAATGAGTTAAATCTTTCAGTCTACTATTATATAGTGGCCTTTAATTAAACAGTCTTGTTAATCAGTTCCTGGTTATAATTATTAAACAAAAATAAATAGTAAACTTTTAAAAAAAAAAAAAATGATGAAAATGACCTGCGACCTCTGACCCCTTACCCTCTTTGTTACGTTTAAACGTGATGTTATTTAAACTTTTCATATAACAGAAAACAGAATTTTGTGCTCACTTTTTTAACAGTACATCATCCTACTGTTAGCGGGCTTCTATGAAGTACATCACGCTATTTTTGACAACATTTTTACAATAAATTTACATTTATACACATAGTTGAAAATGTATTTGTTGGTTTATGGCTTAGTGAGCAAGGACAGTTTTATGAAACAGACATTCAACCAATACAAGTAGACTTTGTGAGATCATTTAATTTCCACACAAAAATATTTGGCGTATAAAAGGGGGGGGGGTGGGGAGAGAAAGAGAGGGAAACGGGAGAGAGAGACAGGAGAGAGAGAGAGACCAAATCATGAACTGGAAAAAAATGGGACACACCCAATGAGGGTTGGGGAGGGGGGGGATACCCTCCAGCTAAAGAGGGGTCCGAGGGCCTCCACCGGAAACTGTTTATTGAAATATGCTCATTTTAACTATTTTGAGACCCAGAAATCTGTTAAAATTTACCTTCAATGTTGTTATTTAATTTAAAATCTGAGGCATATCATAAACGAAAACAATAATTTTGCAGTGAATACTTATTTATTTATACATATTTGACAACATAATACAACACACAACAGATTAAATTTCTCTATTCTAGGATTTAAATTTAGGATATTTGTCTATTGTTCGGCCAGCCATTGTTAAAAACTACATTTTTATCCAATATGTAATAATGTGTTTGGTTATAGAAACGGGGCATTTTCGGGACACCGGGTATGATCGATTATTACGGGACGTTAGGTCACCCTAGGCTAGCAGGGCTACCACTCAATTTTGTTTAAATTCCCAAGATTTAGTCAAAATATTTCCCAAGATTTCCCAAGATCATGAAAAATATAATATAAGATTATTTTTGTTAAAGGATCTTGGGGAATTTTTTAAAAAAAGTGACTTTTTGTCCTGAATAGGGTAGTGAATTCCCAAGATCTTGGGGAAATTCCCAAGGTGTAGCAGCTCTGGTTTGGTCACCCTAGGCTGGTAGCTCAAAACTTTATCTACGCCGCTGCACCGTGATCCCCGACCGGTCATTTCTGGTTCGCATCGCTTTTATCAGTCCTTTACTGGCAACACCGCCTAAAGAAAACATTGCTTAAAATATTGGACAAATGAAGCGATCTATTGATTCCGGTGTGTGCTCTGTTCCTCCCATGTCTCTCGTCTGTTATGTGATCTACTCGATAAACGCATCAACTCTGACATGTCTCCTATAACAAATATTATAAACCCACTCACAGACCAAGGGAAGTTATTTTAGGAAGGCTACCATCAGAGATGTTTAACTCATGGTCTACTTTTAACACACAAAAACCACTACGATATAATAGTAGTACTAGTTTAAATATGATGGATATCGGTTTTTTTTAAAAAGTAAATACAAAAATTAATAATTTGTAAATTGATCAAATAAGACGACCCAGCATGATATCATAAAGACATTCGATCGATTCAAAAAATTAAATTAAACTCACACTGGCTATATTTTTTTAGACAGTTTATTATTATTTTTTTGCCTTATAAAAAGTGTGTTGCTTGGTAAGCTTTCCAAGAACCAAACAATATCGGTAAGTTTGATCGATTATTCTTAAACGTCGGTGCCTTATTTCTTTAGAGTTACTCCTTTATATTATTCCAACAATCATAATTATATTTTATTTCTCGAAATAATGTGAACATAATGCTCTGCATAACGAATATTGAACTGTTGTTAATTGGCGTCATTACTTTTGAGTGACGCAAGGGCTGGTTCAATATTGCCACGTCTGAGTCTTCTTCTGCTGGATGTGACCTACTTTTTGACCAACGTGTAAATGGCTTTCCTGGCGGTTAGAGAGCGTGTTTTTTAGTTTAATCTTTAACGATAATTCCGTACTACTCTCTGAGTCAACCAGCTTTTTAAAAAAAATATTTAAAACTACGTTGTGTATTTGATGCATTTCAAAGAAATGAGAGTCTTGTAAAAGAAATATCCTGTTCTGCTAAGACAGTTTCTTCATTCATCCCGAAATCAGCAAATCGATTGGTCCAAAGGCTGTCGCGCGAAACGTTTCCACCAATCGCAGAGCAGCAGATTTGCGACATTTCAAACGATACGCGCTGACCCCAGACAGTGCATTACAGACGAAGGCAAGGACTCTCTACATGTTTTTAAAGGTGTGCCCCAATGAACAATATTATTTTTTTTTTTTGTGCACTCATAATTTAAAGTAAAAGGTGGATTGGATGTAATATTCTGGTCGATGGAAGGGTTTGTGACCTCATTTGCAATTGTTAGTACCCTAACCTGTGAATGTGATGATTGAAAGGAAAACTTAAAAAAGGTGGGCTAATCTAATTTGGTATAAAAATATCTAAAAATTTGGATTTTTTTATGTTACTTCATCCAAGCCCCGTAAAATAACTCGTAGAGCAATCTTTCAATTTCTCATGCTCTATTGTTTATTCTGTCAGCTGATGAAGGATTCTGACTGAAAAGATCATTTGATTTTTATTTTTTTTGGTTCAAACTTGTCTTGTTTAATTGTTTCTTTAAAACTTTTGGAGTGCGAGAAGGCGCTAGGTTATTTTAAAACTTTAACTTTATTTATTTATAGACTACATTTATTTTACTCGTGACGTGATAGGACAGGTTTCCCGGTTTTCCCCTCGTCTACGTGGGGGTTCGGAATTTTAAGAAGTTAATTAAATGTATTTATTTTCTTTTGTGTGTGTGATTTGGGGGGGGGCGGGCTACTAAACGTGGTAGTTTATTTTAGTTAACTGAAGAAGTAAGTTTACAAACATATAGTCCATTCAATTATCTTTCACTTGATACCTCATTTTATCTTACAAACCCAAGAATAAAATTTTAAATCGTTTTTTTTAATCCCAACTTCTCACTTCTGGTACCCGGGTACGAATAGCCACTTCGTATTTCAAATGCTTTAATCTGCTGTCCTATGCTAGTCTTTTTTGGGGGGGGGGGCGGTCCCCCTAACGTTTGTACCGCAATACTCGTTAAAATATTCCCTTTCGGGTCATTTCTGGTCACTCATTTTTAAAAATTATTTTGCGTGTATTGTGTTTACCAGGGTTGCCTTTCACAGTCTCACACACACACACACAACTTAGCCTGACCTATATTTACAGCCAAAACCAAGTCGGTCTATTTTTAGCATGTTATTGTGTCTAGTCCTAGTTCTCCTCAAATTCGGAATCGTTGGCTGGAGTGTTTGGTGTTGTTTCCCCTCCTCCTTTGGGGGATTAGCTAAACATTGAACCAAAAGCACCGCTAAATTCCCCTTCTATAAGTTCAATTTAATAAGCAATATTAACGGTTTATCTCCTTTATTAGCCCCCCTGTTTAAAGTATGACATGGGCGTGGTCTATCTCCCTTCTGGTCAATTTATTAAGCAATGTCAATGTAAGCCTACCACTCTAATGCACCAATGTTCATCTGAATGCTAGTAAAGTAAAGGACAATGCCCCCTGGGTCAAGGTTACGTTGGTGAAGTAAACAATGCAGACCTGAATGTAAATATAAAACAAAAAACAAAAACAAAAAACCTACAAGAATTCATTATTTACCAAAATTCCAACTAATTTATTGGTCTATCTACACCACACCGTCAATACAATCCTGATAAGCACTGCGGGGAGGGGCCCCCGGTGTCCCATGAGATAGAACCCCTCTGAACCAGCGCCAATCACAACCAGCGTGGTAATATCCAGACAAGCTGTTTCCTCCTCAACACGTGCGCACATGCTTTTAAGAAAACTCCACATGACGTAGCACCGCACTGTAAACAAATAGATCTTACTCGTAGGTCAGCCGAGAGATGGCGTGGAGTTAACAAAAAAAATCCATTCTTGCGCGTGACATATTTGAATCACTAGTTTTATATTAGAAATTAATAATTAAGTAATAAGAAGACAACGGAACAAAGAAAATAACTTTGTATTCCATGCTTTTTTTTTAAAAAATATATATAATATATATATTGATATATTGTGGAGATACCCGTTTTATAGTGATTCCTGTTGATACCATTATAATAAGTCAAGAATTTTCATTTTGGAAAAAACGATATGTTGCTGACACAATAGTGCTGTGTGCCTTATAAGGTGAGTTACCGCTTTAATAATTAATTTTTGTTGTATTGGTTTAAACTTCTGTCCCAAACGCCTACCACTTCCTAATGGCCAGGGAGTGTGTGTGCAGTAAAAGTTAACTTACAGGTGCCTCTTAAATCTCAAGAAATTCCCCAGATTTGGTCTGCACATTTCCCCATATTATTTTAAAAAATGGTTTAAAATTAAAATCATACAATTAATTAAGTTTAAGCTTTCAGACTATATAAAAAAGGACGTACAAAGAGAGATAAAGGCGTTGTTGCCCCCCCTTCCCCCCGGCACCCTAATCTAAATTTGTTAATTTTCATTAATTATGTTTATGATTTCAACTGCCAGAGTGGGGAAATAAATTTGATTTAGTTCGTTGAATACATTTTTAAACCATGACTTACGTGTGTGTGATAACTCACTTAGTAAATCATCTTACACTTACATGTATCTTACATAGTGTTAATGTTCGTTTAACTTTTAGGATTTTTTTTTTGGTTGTTTTGTTTACGTTGGTTGAACTTATTTAAATAATTTTTTTAACGTGTACTTTCTGCCGACCAAAGCCTAACTCACATGTACGCAAAATCTTTTTTTTTTTTTAAATGACGCCCCCCCCCTCCCCCTCTTCTCTGTGCATACGTATGTTCTACATGTATATGGATTATCACTCTCATGATGACATCTCTGTTTTTTCCCCTACGGTTAATATTTATTTCGATTATTTTAGTTTTAGTTTTTTATTTATTAATTTGAAACTTGAATAAATTTGTTATGTCTGTACTCATTTCTTTTCAAAATCAATCATTTTCTTTTCAAACTGGTTGGTATCACTTGGCAGAGAATAATAGTACACTTAACCTTTTAAAAAGCGGACATCTTTTTAAATCCTTTATATTAACTCCACTTTTGTTTGTGGCTGGCAAAATCTTTGGATGGCTAGTTGACCCACTTCCCGTCAACCTATCGAGCTGAAACTTGGCACATAGACTTGTTGCCGATGTAGAGATTTTTAAAAAATATTAAAAAAAACAAACTATCCCAGTCCGTTTGGTGCGTAATATTTTCTTTTGTTTTTCTGAAAGAGTTGGCGAAATAAATATGGGGCGTAAAAGCGGGTGTGTCATTAGAATAATATTATTACTATACTATTATTTATAATTATTTTATTATATTAATTATTATAAATTTTACCCTGCCCGGAGGGGGGGGGGGCCGCAATTTTGAAATTTCATTTAGTCAAGGTTCACCGCTGCCCATAGCGACCCAAAATTCTTAGTTTATCAGTAGCAATCTACTTAGGTTGTAATCACCCTAACCCCCCCCCCCACCCCAAAACCCCAGTGTTTTCCCGTCCCTACTTCATTTCATGAGGTATCTCAACATTATTTTCCTGTTCCCAAGGTGTTTCATGATTTCCCCATATCTAGGGAGATTTCCCAAGGTCTGGCAGCACTGGCTCAACGTGTTGTGTGTAGGCTAAGGCTATCTTGTATCCAGGCCAAAGTACGCCGCTTCCAACAACACGAATATAAACGCTTAAACATGTAAACACGTAGTCTAACAATACCACATGGTTTAAATTGTATTCATCTTTTTTTAATTTTTAAAACAAAGCAACACCGAGCATTTTTCATTCCATATAATATGCAAATAAATCATGAAGTCATTCTAAAAACTATTTAAAAAAACAACAACTTCTAATACAAATATAACAATGTTTAATGCATAAAAATTGTATATTTGTATACATTAAAGAAAAATTATATTATAAAATTATAATGCAAAATTAAAAAAAAAGGTATGCAAATATATAATGGGGAAAAAAAAGAAGAGACACATTGTCATTCTAACTACCGGTAAAAAAACAAGTAATTTGAACGATTTATTGCCAGTGTTAATTTGGGAGAGTCTTCCATTTTCGAACAATTGTTCATTGTTTACCATTTGCATAGTAGGTCACATTGGGTCACCAAATAAACACAACATGAAGGATAACCGTGAACTAGGTCTTGCATCAATCATTGCCTCATTCGAGTGACACCCCCCACCATGACACCCTGTTAAATTTTCCCTTATTTTTATGCCACTATCGTTGCCCTATTTGAGATATTTCCAAATTTTAAGTTTTGCGGACCGGTAGACAAGTACCGGTGCCAGATTTATTATTTATATTTGCCATTTTTTTTTATCTCAAAATTAAATTATATATATATAAAAAAACCTGACCTAGGTGCGCATAAACAAGGTCTAAAGTTCGTTTGGTCTCCTTGAACTCCTGTTGACTTTTTTTTTTTTTTTTCTTCTGCCAGCGCCTTCCATTGCCGCATTCGTCTGCAGCGTGGGTAGCGACGTAGTTTGGTTAGGGTCTTTAGCTTCACAAACACATTGTTCTGGATCGCGGGCAGGGTTGCAGATGTTTAGACCCCGTTGTTCTTTTTAGTCGTTTCACCCCTAGATCTAACAGCTGTCTCTAGTTAAAGCTCTCGTGCATTTGATGCTATTTTGAAACGTATATTTCTTTCTTTTTTTTTTTTTTTTTTTTTAAAGATCAGAAAGTATGAGTGGTCACTCACCAGTATGGTCAATATAAGAAGCCCCACCCTCCAAGCTCAACCCCACGCCCCAGTGTTCCTACGCCCATGTTGATCAAAACCACACAGAGCAGTCGATATATAAATAGTGTGTATAACTTTAAGCTTGTTTTATTTTTTTATTATTTTTTTTCCCACAGTAAACGTCGGCGCTGACAACACACTGTGCACGATGGAACAGTTGCCAGGTAAGAAGGGACGCGCATAAACGTCATAAACCACCAACCGACCGACCACTTGTTCTACAGTAAGAGTGAGAGGTACATTTTTGTAGGGCCTATTACTATTATCGAGTTGCACCGAGCTTTACAAAACAAAAAGTAAAGTTTATAATTTTATTGCACGTTAAATAAAACTAAAAATAGCCTATTGATGCACCGCTTAACAAATTACGCTGCAGTAGACCTAACAGACACTTAATATTTTTAAAAAAATTAAAAAAAAAAACATTTAAAAAATAAGAAAATAAAATGCAAGAAACAAGTAAATTTAATTTTTTTTTTTTTTTTTTTTTTTTTTTTATTTAAATTTTTTTAATTCTTATCTTACTAACTTACTATTCTTATCTTACTAACTTACTATTCTTATCTTACTAACTTACTATTCTTATCTTACTAACTTACTATTCTTATCTTACTAACTTACTATTCTTATCTTACTAACTTACTATTCTTATCTTACTAACATACTATTCTTATCTTACTAACTTACTATTCTTATTATGAAACTTGAATGGCTCCAAATTTCAAAACCTTTTAAAAAGCCCATAAACTCGTAAACCTAATTTCATTCGTCGACGTACTGATTTTACCAGGACTAGGACTGTAATGCTTTTTGATGGACCTTTGTTCTGGTTTTAGTGAGCTGAAACCAGTAGGCCTACAGTTTAAGACTACATAATTATTTTAACAATAATAATTTTATAATTTATCAAAAGAGTGCATGTCATATTCATGCATAAATTTTAATTAATAAGTGACCCAAATAAACGAACTTTAAATTGAATCTAAATTGGCTGGCATCGCGAGCTTTTTTTCCCCTCCAAAATATCACCTCACTGACAGAAAATCTTTTTTTGATTTTGTAATCGCAAATATGTTATTATTTTTTTGTTGATGCCTATTAATTATTATACCCATGGCACCAAAGATGTTAAATTTCCTGATTTTAAATTTGAAAATGTTACAATGTTATGGTTTTACACAAAAAAATCGTAACATTGGCCCTCAACCTTTCTAATGCCGCGACCCTTTAATACAGTTCCCAATGTTGTCTTGTGGTGACCCCCAACAATAAAATTATTTTCGTTGCCACTTCATAACTATAGAGCAGCGGTTCTCAAACTGTGGGTCGCGACCCCTTTGGGGGTCGCGGGACTCTTTTCCAGGGGTCGCCTAAGACCATCTGAAAACATATATCCTTACACCTATGACGTAGCAACGAAAATAATTGTGTGGCTGGGGGTCGCCACGACACGAGAAACTGTGTTAAAGGGTCGTGGCACTAAAAAGGTTGAGAACCACTGCTATAGAGTATGTGTTTTCCGAAGGTCTTAGGCGAACCCTGTGAAAGGGTCGTTTGACCCCCCAAAGAGATAAAAGCTTATAATGTGATTTAAAAAAATGAACACTTGCATGCAGTGCCGTCTTAAGGCATGGGCCCAGTGGGCGCTTGTAGGGGCCCCACGTTTTTTAGGATACTCACTCTTATAGAGCCATTATGTTTTTACAAATTGTTAATGAATATCGTAAGATTTTGACAATTTAATTGGATTAAAATTCCTAATTTTAAACAAAGATATATATTAGCACATTCCAAAATTAATATTATAAATGCGAATCAAAATTTGACAATTTAAAAACCTTTAAAGCAGGGCTACCACACCTTGGGAAATTTCCCAAGATCTTGGGAATTCACGACCCCCCTTGGGATCGGGGAATAATTTTGAAAATCAGGCAAAACCTTGGGAAATCTTAACTGGGGCAAAATTTTATTATATTTTTCGAAAAAAAAACGCAGCAATATGTGATAAAAAATAAAGTGAAAATAAAGCAAAATAATTTTTAAAGTAACAAGGCAAAAAATTAATTGTTTTCATTTTCTTTTCTGGTTTTAATTTTTAAATCCACTCATCAAATAAATAAAAACTCTTCTGATGTTAAAGTTAATATTATTGTGAATTGTTAAAAAGTTAATAGTTAAGGAAAAATTCAATTTTCTCTTCTTTTTTTAACATTGAAGATTTACAAATTACATCCAGGTTTTTGTTTGTGTATTAACAGGGGGGGGGGGGGGGGGGGGTGGGCTGGGAAACTTTATCATTTGGCTAATATTAGACATTAGTAACCATACGAAAAACAGTACAAGCCGAAGAGTGATCGATGTCGATAGTGATAGTGATAGTGTTCAATCAAGAATCCATGCCAAAGTAAAATTTGATTATTTCAATTACTTCTACATTGTGTTCAAAATATAATGCATCTGTAAAAAATCCAGCCTAATTTTCATCAATTGGAAAAAAATATTTGTGGATTGAAACACAGGTAACTAAGATATTAAAAGTAAAAGTATAGGCCTGCGTTGTAGGATTATAAATGAACAATACCTTTAAAAGTAAAAGTATTTTTTTGTTGTTGAAAAAATCGTTATAATGTAAATTTACAAGAAAAAAAATAAAATACTTATTGTTTTCATAATAATATCAATCCATTTTAACTACAATTATTTTTAATAAATTTTGCTTCATTGCTTTGCAAACACCACTTCTAATCAACACTAGTCAACAGACTTACAATAAGAAAAATTATTTTTTGATGAAGAACCTTTTGCCCTTGTAAAATGATTAAAACAGAGTAGGGTTAAACCTGAAAAAAATAAACGCAACAAAACAGCGAACATGTCGGCAGAAAGCCTTCGTCAGCGAACAAAACAACAGAAAAAACGATATAAAAATAAACTATGTACTAACCTGATTGCAGTCTCTCCCCTTATTTGCCCTTATAAAAGGAATTCTGTGTTGATTAGCCTTGTAAGCTTTGTTTCCTAGTGACTTCTATTACACATGTATTGTAGATGATATTTGTACCAGAGAATTCGGAGGTAATATTTAGTAGCCTAACTCCAGTGGGTATTGATATTTTGGTTTTATAAATTATTTTTTTTAAAACAAATTGTTTGTTTCTTTTACTTTTATGTGATAAAAACTTTTTAAAATGTCTTTTTCAATAAATTTCAGTCAATTAATGTACCATGTTTTTCAGAGGCATTATTCAATCTATTATTACATTAATTACATAGAAAAAAACAACCTTTTTTAAAAGGCTGCATCTATAGGTACCCGGGTACCTATGGTTGCCAATGACAATTCGCACCCGGAGTGGCTCCGTACATATTAAATGGCTTCGGAGCCGAATGTGATAACAATAATAGTATGAGAATTATTTTTTGAAATTGTTTTTTCTCCATGTTTATTTGATTGATTCATAGTTTTATTATTTTTAGTTGTTTTTTTATTTTTGCTTTGTTAATTTCTCTTAGTACCGGTAGATTTTTTTTCTTTCTTATTTTCTTTTTTTTAGTTTAAGCCATTTTCGGAGATCAATTATTTTTTTTTTTAAATCTAGTAATGAAGATGATTTAGATACATTTATTGTTTTTATTTGAATTTTAGAAAAGTAATAATATTAATTTAATTAATAAAATTAAATCCTTTAAGATTATTTATGTGTATTGTTTAAGTTAAAAGATTTAATCACACAGTACTTTATGAATTAATTAGGTATTCTAAATAATGAAAATTTCATTCATAATGAATTTATTTCAACTATTCCTCTAGAGAGCTTGGCTTAGTCAGAGCAAAACTACCAATTTTAAACCTTTTCCTTGGCACTGGGAGTCATACATGCGGACACTAACTGTTATTCCTGATATCTTGAATCTCCTTTCAACAACCTTTCTCATTTGACTTGACCTAATTCACAAGGTAGTTGCAATGAACATCTTAAAGTTAAAGGATGCCATTGTATAAAGTATGAGAAGGAGACTTATTTTTGGAGGACTAGTCTTTTTTTTTTTTTACCATATCTGTCTGCTGGGTCTAACACACTGGTATATAATTTAATAGAAAAAAAACCCTTAACTGACTTGCAAACATTTTTGTTTGGTTGTTAGTTATTTGAGTTGTGTACTCGTAATCCATAAAATAAATTAGGGGCCAGTATGGAGTAGGCAGCCATTATACTCACTCAATTAGGTCACATTATTCCTTTGCCATTTGTCTCCTTTTACTTTCTCACCTTCCTTGTTGGTACCCGTACAGTTAACTATTTTTTGTACTGTATCATTTCTTCATTTAAGTACAGACGTAATGATTGAGTGGGAGCAAATATATGTGATCTGTGAAGGGAGTTTGGTTTCAAGGCAACTAAGTCATGTCACATTGAAAATAAAATACTGATAACCTAAATAAATAGAGCCATTGAAAAAAATACAGTACATACAAACCATACACAAACAGAAAGACAAAAATCCACTAAATTAAAAAAAAAATTTGTTGTGACTTTTATTGCAAAAAATTAAACATTTAATACCAATTTTGACTTAACGCAAAATGATTAAAAACAAATTTGTATTGCATTGTATTGTAAATTATTGTTCTGTATTGTAAATGAAACTTGGCATACATATTAAGAATAACATTGACAAAAAGTTTAAAGAAGATTATTACACAGCAGTTATTGGAATTGTTACAAATGGCATGTATGTGGGGGCCACATAAATATTTGAGAACTCTTCAGGGGTAGCAAATGTAAAAATGTTATAAAACTTTCTAGTTGGATATATATATATATATATATATATAAAAACGTCTTGAATTTCGTAAAGAATATCTATGAAAAGAAGCATGCAATGTTTGAAGGCTGTAGCTAGAATACTTTTCCTCCCGATTCATTTGGCGTTCCTTAAAAATCCGGAAAATGCAAAATTGAGAAAAATGAAAAAAAATATAAATAATAAAATTGTGTTTTTTTAAATTAGAGGCTGCATGAACGATATAGGATGCATACACCATGTACATAGATCCTTCATGATTTAAAAAAAACAATTAGAAAACTAAGACAGAAAAGATAGGAAAAAAAATTAACACACGAACCTAATAAATAAAATGCATAAATACAAACATTCTCTGAAAACTTTTCCTATGAGACATTTGTTTAAAAACAATCCATCATAAAGTAAAGAATCTCAATTGAAATAAGCATGCAAAGTTTCAATTATGTAGTTCCAAAACTATTCCTCCTGATTCATCAATTGATGTCAAGAAAAAATATAATGAAAATGCTATATCTATAAAAGCTGAAAAAGACACTGAAACAACATTGATGCATACATCATGAACACATCCCAAAAAATTATTGTTAGGTTGTAAGACAAAATTTGGTAACAAATGAAAGATAATTGAATGGACTACATGTTTGTAAACTTAATTCTTCAGTTTAACTAAAGGAACATTAACTAAAATAAATTACCACAAATGACATCCGAATAGCATTGGTCTATTGGACCCGGGTTTGAATAGCGAGAGCCATTTATTTACAAACATTCACATCTTTATTTTATACAAGCAGTGGAAAATTGTTGGGGCAGCTATCTTTTTCTTTTCAGGGTAAAATTTTGCTTTACCTTCGGTCGCCCCTTTGGGCGAACTCTGTCAAGGTTAAGCTTCCCAAAGGAATTAATACTATTTTCAGTTTCAATTTTTTCTAAATTATTTGCAGCAACTGTTTCCTCGTGGGAAAAATGAATGTCATTTATATCAACAAAATCAATTAGTTGACTTTGAATGAAACTTGTTTGTGGTTCACCTTCATCAAGTTGTGACCCCGATTCATTTTCATCTAAATTTTCAGGACTTTTCCAGAGACTTATAGTAGTTTCAAGAAAGGATATTTTCTCTACAAAATCTTGTTCTCCTTGCATCGCCAAAAAATTTGCCAAGCCCATACAAATTCTTTTAGCATGATTAAACCGACCCTCTTGAGTCTTAAAATTATTGTTTCTAGTAGATACAATTTGAGAAGTTACTGAACCACTAGAAGTAGAAGCAACCACTCTAGGAACACTATGTTTGCTAAAACGGCATGGAATTAACTCTGAACAAAATTCTGGAAGCTGTAAATGTCTTCGAACTGAAAAAATATGTCTGCAAGGTAATGCCATCTTTTTAGCAAATGAACAATTACATTGAACTGATGTTGAGCTAAAAATACGTTCCTTATAAGCTACTGAAAAAAGTTCTGCCTCTCCAGGGACAACAGAGTACGGAACAGATCGTGACAATTTGAGCTGATTGAGCAATAGAGCAGCAGCAAAGGAAGTAGCAACACTTTCAATCTTATTTACACTTTCATCATTATCAGATGACGTATACTGAGCTGTGTTTGCAGCAAGCAATCTTAAACGATCACATACTGTAATTTTGCAGTTGTCAAAAGACATAAGGTTACGAAGAGCAGATGAAAAAGAAAGATAATGAGTCAAACTCTTTTTTATTTTGGCATGATAAGACTCCAAGTGTTTTGTTTTTGTCGCATGGAGTCTTAAAACATCAGCGTTGGATGATGCTGCCCATAAATGGGCCTTACTCCACCAGTTCGACTCAAAATACTCCAAAGCTACATAAGGAAGAGTATCTTTCATGTCTTGCATCAACTTTAAAAATTCATCACACGACTCGGTATAAACTTGAGACATAAATCCTTCAAGAATTGGCTTAACATGCTCAGGACCTGCATGTTTCGAAAGAAATCTGTGCACGTCCTGGTTAATGTGAAAATGACATAGATTAACAGGTACATTTGGAAAGAGATCATTTATAGCAGAGATTTCAGCCATGTCTTTGTCAACCACAAAGCACTTGAAAAGACTGGCATCAGAATTCTTGAGAAGAAGCTGCAAAGAGAAATAGATTCCTTATCTTCATTTTTTACAAAACCATGAAGAACAGGAATGCCCCTGCCCTCTCCATCAATAACCATTACAGTCAAAAGTGGATATAAATATTTATTGGTTTTATATGTGAAATCCATTAATAAAACCTCTGGATATTGGGCAATAATTCTAATCATATCATCAGTCATGTATGATAAATACTTAAATTCCCCACTTTCTGTTAGTCCATAGGACACACTTCCACCAGCTTGTGATATAGAATGAAGTATAGATTAAGTTTCAGTTGCATCAGAAGATGATTTATTTATTCTTGACTTCATATTGTAAATATCCCTGGGAAGCAAATCCACATCATGCTGTTGTTCAAGCACTTGCCGGGCCTCAGATGCCTGAATCGTGGTGCAGGACATCAACAGAAGCGTTGCTGCATTTAGTTCCACCTTGCGGTTTTCCGGATACAAGCGGCACATCTGGAAAAAAAATACACAAAGGTTACTTTGCAATAATAAGTATTATGTAAAAAAATATGCTCTGCAAACATTATTATTATTAGTGGTCTTATAAAAGGTTCCCTTTAAGCTGCGCTGCCGCGCAGCCATCTCACAGGCGCTGCGCAGCAGTTTTGAGTATCCGCACAGCAAATTTCATTCTAAGTGTGTGTTTGTGTTTCTGGACTGTAAAATTTTGCACACAAAAAAATTGATGCTGTAAAACTTTGCACATAACTGTATGATTTTGCACACAAAACAACAAACCTTAGAGGGAACATTGGTCTTATATAGTGCGGTACCCCAGCCTAGGGCTAGGCTCACCGCTGTGTACATAAAAATAACTAACCTTCACCTTGGGGATAAATGTTTTGTTTATTATATGTCACAATAATCAAAATTAAGATATAAAACTTTGTTTGGACTATTTAGAATTTATTAAATTTAATTATACTGTTAAATAGATTTGTCTTAATTTTTTTCAAAACCTTTCTATGGTAAGGGTGGTAACCCTAACCTTAACCAAAAGTTTTCAGTGATAAAATTTCTGAGCGCCCTAGATTGAATGGGTTAATGAATGGTACAAAACATTCTTTTAAAATGCATCCATCTAACCTCTATAGTACTAGAGACTAGAGTACCTGTAGGTGACAACAACCTGCCACAAGAATAAGCTATTTATTATTATTATGTAAATATTTTTCGCAGCACATGCACTTACTTCTTTTGATACTTCATGGCCAGTATGTTCATGCATTGATTTGGTAATTTCTAGCCGAGATGGATTTCTCTTGGCAACAAGCTTTATCTTTGCCTGGCATCCCAATTTGAAAGAACTGAAAAATATAAAAATTCTCAACGAATTGCCAAAAGTGGTAAGGGCTAATGTAGAGCACGAATGCCACGGCGTCATTTGCTTCTTTATTATAGTTGCAGTGAATTAGGGTTTAGGTTAGGTTGAGAGGTCGATTTAGGGTTCAGGTTAGGCATAGCATAGTGATTGATTTAGGGATACATTAGTCGCGGCCATCAATAAAATAGTGGCATTCGCCCTCTACATTTACCGTGGTAATAACCATTGGCTTGGAGAAAGAATAATTACATGACAAGACCAACTAAATTTAAAGTTAACCTATTATTATTACTTTATTACTTACGCTTGTGATTTTCTTTGGCCTGTTGACTGTTGTCGTTGAAGACTTTGACTTGCGTTTAACGCCTTGTTTGCAACAGTGAATTATATATTCATATTTAAGGTGTTCCAAATTGGGATCTTTCATCTTCTCTGACGATCTTTTAGTGAAACACACATTGTGTTCTTTACAAAAATAATTCAATTCGTCTTTAAAAGACGCATAGGTGTCAAAAATGCTGCCAACTTCCATTTTTTAAAAGAAAGCGCGGCAAACTTGTCGATTATTAAGCCTCTGGTTCGGATCATGTTTTTTTTTCGATTACTAAGACTTTCTGGTGCGAATAGTCATTGGCGATGATGGGTACTCGGGTACCTATAGCCACTTCGTTTTTAAAAAACTCTTATATATTTTATGATCTTGGGAAATCTTGGGAAATTTGTTCACCAAATCTTGGGAAATTTTAAAAAAGTGAGTGGCAGCCCTGCTTTAAAGGGGAATAACTCTCGACAAAAAGTTTAACTTTACGCAGACATGAATCTAAAAAAAAATATTGTAAGAATTTATGTTTACAATGATGTTGACAAGTATGTTGGCCCCGGGCGGTAATAACCGTAGCTACGCCACTGCTCAGTAGTGAAATAAGTGGAGAAAAGTATATTCTAGCACCAGTTTAAGTGCGACAGAAGTAGAAGTTAATAAGCATTATATAAAGGAATGCGAATGTGTAGTGAACTGTAAATGTAGTGTAGGTCACCAATAAATAATTCTGGTAAAAGTAAATTTATTATTACAATAACAACCAAATAACTTAATATTTTCTAAACTGAAAAATATATTGTTTTCTGTGCCTGAAAAACATATTTAGATGACAAACAGAACTCAACAGTCACTGTAGGTCTGATCTGAAGGCAGAAATATATATCATATTTAGGTATAATTATAATATAATTTGTTGTCACTGTTAATGTTAAAATCTGAACACTGAAACTGAAAGTCATGTACATTTCAATGAAATAACTCAAACACAGAGATCAGTTTTATTAATGACACCATAACATAACAATGATTTCCCATTGTTCGTTTTTATAGCGGGGCACTTGTGAGTTTGAAAGGGCACACAAATACTTTATTAAAAATAATTACGTTTATTTAAAAAAAATTATCTTTTGAACCCATCGCTGCTATAACAATAAAAATAATTATAATAAATGTATATGCTTCTAGATGCATAACCCTTTAAGCGTAAATAAAACGTAGTCATACGTGTGGAGCACGGAAGAGAAAGAGAACTGCAGAGGTGACAAAGAAAACGTGTAAACTTGCAAAATTAACATCTTGCTGATTAATATAATCAGAACAGACGTACTGGCATAAATTTCTAACACATGTGGTTTCTGTTGTTCGCTTTCTTGCCTCCAGAGGTTTGGCATTTCGTAAAGAAAATCAAACTATTGGCTCAGTAAACAATGGAAATTATTTAGGTATATAGAGCTGTTGAGTGAATTTGACCCTTTTTTGGAAGAGCATCTCAAACTATATGGAAATGCTGGAAAGGGGAACGCATCATAACTGTCGGAATTTTTTCAATGGTATGACAATGCTTCAGATATGTCTGGATGCTACACTGGATTGCTGGCACGGATATGTCAACTGAACGAGTTTGCCGTGTATGTCCCTTGTGCTGGACACAGCGTGAAGCAGCAGAGTGTTGTCTACAAGTTGGAAAATTCTTTGCTTTGTTGAGGACCTTTATACCTTTTTCTCAGCTTCTACACATCAATGGAATGTCCTGGTATCTTCTTTAGGAAAATCTCTCATTGTCGTAAAGCGTCTGTCTAACACAAGATGGTCAGCACATTTTGATGCCGTCCATGCTCTGCATGAAGGTTTCGAAAAAATTCAAGATGCTATGATTCTATATCAGCTGATACTGATTAGGAAGTGATTGCGAGGTGTGAGGCAGAAGGACTAAGAAAGAAAATGGAGAACCTGGAAAGATCTTTCTGACAATTCTTTGGAGCGACATTCTGGAAAGTGTGAACAAAACAAATATGGGCATGCAGTCAAAAGATGCTGACATGTAGCCATAAAACTCCTTGAGTCTCTGAAATCCTATCTTCAAGAATTTAGAGAAAATTTAGTAGTGTAAGGCCAAGAGAAGGTTCCAGAATTGAAGTTGAGTGATGGTAAGAAACGGAAACCAAATCGAAGTTTCTGTCTAAGTAGATATGATGGACCAGACGATCTATCTAAATATGATAAAAGTGAAAGTTCAAGATCGAAACTTTTCTCCCTATTTTGGACTCCCTGAACTCTTACCTGACACAACGTATACACGCTTATTCTTGGATTGGAAATCTGTTTTCCTTCTGTACGAAATTAAAAACAATTGATTCGATGAGCTAACTAAAAAAGTGTGTAGATCTAGCTCATATGTATCACAAAGACCTTAATAAGGATGACCTATTAAATGAATGCAAGCATCTCAAGAACTACTGGGTTCTTGATGAAAATTGTGACACTATCACTGCTTTGTAGGAACAAACGATTATGTTGATTTATATTACATAATTTATTTTATCTATCGTCAATAAGGATAATTTATCATCCTCTGTGATTATGCATAGTTTATTTCTGAAAATGTTTTAGAACTATTATTGATTTTCTTTTTGGAATCAATAAATTGAATTCATCGAAGTTTAACTTATTTAATGTTTATTTTTATTTTACATTTTTATTCCTCTTGGTGAGTTGGTGGGGAGCAAGAACTGTTTGCCCCCCCCCCCCCCCCACTGTTTGAGCATGGGGCAGGTGTTCCCTTTCGCCCCCCGTCTCACTGCCCAGATGTGTTGTGTTGCTAGGGGGGCCCCAATGCATTGCTATGCGCAGGGCCTCCTATGTTGATAAGACGTCCCTGCTTGCAAGGAATTTTAAATATATTTTATTATAATTTATATGATTAATAGTATATGATATGACTTATAAATAATAAATATATATTATATTATATATATATATTTATATATATATATATATATATATCATAATATATGCCAAATGTCCATGGGCAAGGGAAGATCTGAATGAGCATAACAACCAATTTTCTCTTTCTGTTATTAGGAGATGATTATGGCACCCCTTCCAATAGCAAGATCAAGTTTGATGACATCGTTCAGTTGCTGGGTGAGTTTGGAACCTATCAGAAGCGGGTCTACTTTCTGCTGTGTCTTGCTTCCATGTCTTGCGGTATCCAGATCATGGTGTCAGTCTTCAACATGGGGCACCAGGACCACAGGTCAGTGGATTGAGCCACCAGGAACACAGGTTATTCAATTAAAAGTGCTTTATAACATGGAGCACTTGAAATACAAACCAGTAGAAGTAGATTTTGACATTGGGGGACTTGAAATTATATTGGTCAGTGGAATAGGATTTTAACATAGGGCTAAGGCAGGGGTCAGCAAATCGCAGCTCGCGGGACGTATGCGGCCCTTTAAAGACCTGAGTGCTGCCCAGCCAGTCGGCCGAGAATTTGTTTTGACCCCCAAAAACATGGTTCTTGACAGGTTCTTGAAAATAGATTTGGCTCTCAAAAAAATTTTAATCGTCCTTCTGTTGATTTTTGGCTCTTTTGAATAATGAGTTTGCAGACCACTGGGCTAGGGCACTGTCAGTGGAAATTTAGGTCAGTGGAGGCATTGGATTAGCACACGGGACACTCCTGAAATGCAGATCAGTGAACACAGATTATATTATGGGGCACTTGAAATGCAGATCAGTGAACACAGATTATATTATGGGGCACTTGAAATGTAGGTCAGTGAACACAGATTATATTATGGGGCACTTGAAATGTAGGTCAGTGAACACAGATTATATTATGGGGCACTTGAAATGTAGGTCAGTGAAGTAACAGTAAACAAAACATTTTCTTTGCCATGTCGCCTCACCTTCTAGAACCTACTTAAATGTTACATACTCATACATACTCCTGAGATGATGATATCCTATCTTAAAGGGCACATCGGCAGGTCCAGAGAAAGACCAGAGAGTGGTGGCTTACTTAATAGAAATCATGAAATTAACCATTTATTCAAATTATGTGATTCATACCAAATTCATGTCTACATTGCATTTAACCTTTTTGATGAACCATCTACCTTTTAAGGGATCTATTTATTACTTTAATACTTTGATCAGATGTGCTGTCCCTGACCTGGCCAATGACAGCTTTACCATCGCCAGCGATCATCACTACAAACTCGTCAACTCTTCCATTCCAAGAGGGGATTCCAAGGGAAGCTACTCCGAGTGCAGCATCTGGACAGCAGATGAAGAGACGGGTAATCGTTCTTTGACGAGCTGCAAAAAGTGGGTCTATGACGATTCCCTGTTTCACTCAACCGTCATCTCCAAAGTCAGGTTTCAATTCAAATTTTTTTTTTGTGCTTAATTTTATCTCCTGATTTTAACAGATGGCAACTTAAATTCCAGCTGACATCACATTTCAGTATAAGATCATTTTCTTTATATAGCAGTGTGTCGCAGTATAAACTCCTTATTTAGCAAACAACCAGCAAGAACAAAAAAAACCTTAAAAAAATCCAGTCTTTATTGCTGTTTTTCTTTTTGTTTTTATGTTGTGACATTTTTAATGTAACTTTTCTTTCCTTCCGTGTAGGAACACAATAACAAATTTCCCCCTAGGTGAGGCTCGGAATAAGAAATTTGATTTATTTCTGCCGGGTAATACTGTACCGGTATGACAAATCGTAAAAATGTTTGGCACACAGTACTCCTACCACACCGGTACCCTAAACGTAGTCAGTAGATGTAAATGACATTTAGTACGTCAGTTTGGATGAATATGAGTTATTGCTGCGAGCATCAGCTAACACGTTAGGAAACATACCAACTTCTAACATATACAAACTATTTTAGCATGATTTAAAAATAAAATCTCTGATTATTTTTCTTTAGGTGATCTTTTTAAACACGTAATATAATGCTCTTTAGATGATCTTTTAAACACATAATATATTGCTATTTAGCTAATCTTTTTAAAAGCATAACATAATTCCCTTGAGTTGATCTTTTTGAACACATGAATTTTTTTTAATCCACTTGAATGAATTTGGTATGTTTTTGTTTCATAATTTTTGTGTTTTTCCCCCCACAGTTTGACCTTGTGTGTGATCAGAAAATGGCCCGCTCACACAGCCGTATGATTCTGATGGGTGGTCTGCTTTTAGGGGCCATCGGCACTGGTGTTGTCGCTGACATGTGAGTACATTTGAAACAGGCTCTCATTAGCAGACTCTCATTAGCAGACTCTCATTAGCAGACTCTTCACTTGTCAATTTAAGCGAATTATGTGTGTCACCATTTTTGAGTGTACTCTCTAACACAAGTTGATTTGATTTCAACTGATGTATTTGTAAAGGAAAGAAAGCTAATACATTTGAATTATTTACACATTTTCTTGCTAGATTTGATCCTGGTGTCATGATGTACATTTCAATGTCTTGATGATGTACATTTCCATTTCTTGATGATGTACATTTGCATTTCTAGCCATTAAATTCTTTATTATTAATGATATTAACTAGACCAAAAAAAGGCTGTCAAATTATCTTCTCATAAAACATAAAGTCATCCGTGGCTCTTGCTTTTTTTTTTATTTCAAATATTTATGTTTAAAAAAAAACCTCATCTTTTCTAGAATAGGTCGCAAGCTGGCTTTAATGGGGATGGTGGCCCTCCATGCCGCATCATCCATAGGAGTTGCCTGGGCTGATTCTTTTGTGTTTTTTGTCATCTTAAGATTTTTCACTGGCATATCCATCAGCGGACTCTTTTTGGCCATTTTTGTTCTAGGTAAACGTTTATTCATTAAAATATAGTTTTTTAAATTCACTTTAAAGACAATCTTTTAATGACTGTCTACACAGATAATCAGGTTTTCCCAAACTTTATTTTTAACAATTTTCCCTTTTCCAGGAATGGAACTGGTCGGCCCGTCCAAGCGCATGCTGGTTGGCATTGTTGTGGAAGTGTTTTGGGCCGGAGGTGTCATGATACTCGGGGTCATTGCCTACTTTGTCAGGGACTGGAACATCCTGCAGATGACCGTCTCGTTCCCAACACTTCTGATGTTTTCATACTGGTGGTTAGTGCTGCATCCATACTTAGTTAGATGACATGTCGGTAGTGGTTAGTGCTGCATCCATACTTAGTTAGATGACATGTCTGTAGTGGTTAGTGCTGCATCCATACTTAGTTAGATGACATGTATGTAGTGGTTAGTGCTGCATCCATACATGTCTGTAGTTTTTTTGAATTTAAAAGATTACCTTGAAATTAAAGTGGCGATGGTGTGGACTTGGCGGGACGAAATCAGAAGGCCAGGGATTTTCTTTTTCTTAGGAGGATAAGTTGTGTCCCTTGGCAGCAAATCACCTCACTCCACGCTTTTGGATAACTCAAGGGAACATAATGTGTGGATGGACACAGCTTGGCACCAGTAGCAATTTTCATTGTGTCACTGTCATATCACCTACAGGACTCTATAACAGGGGGGGGGGGGGGGCCCCTTTTTGGGGGGGGGGGTGTGTTTTCAGAGTTTTCCTTCTCTTAGATGAGTTGCCATCTAAGGTTACTTAGATTAGTTGCCATCTAAGGTTATGTGTCCCACCCACTCAGGTTTTCTGGTGGTGTTTTTTGTTTGTCTCGGCATTTGCTGGGGATTGAGTCCAAGTGTCAGGATCGACTCAGTTTTGACCACTCGGCCACCCGGCACCTAAGCACCTAATAAAGAATATTAACATATTTAATAGTATGTATAGTGCGAGATGTTCTGGTATGGTAGCAAAGGTGGTTAAATCCTTAGGCAGGAAACTCTTAAAAATTTTTGAGTGTCAAATCGGCTTGGTTAGCCAGAGTTAGTAAACTTGGTTCGCCAGAGTTAGTACACTTGGTTAGCCAGAGTTTGTACATTTTATTAACCTTAGTTAATACATCTGGTTGGCTCAAGTTAAGTGCACTTATTTAGCAAAAGTTAATAAGATTTCAAAAAGGTTGCAAGACGTTTCTCATATGTTATGGTGCTCTGTTCTAGTTCTATGCCTGCCATTATAATAATAATAATAATAATAAAGTTTATTTGAAAAACACCCTTCATCCCCAAAAGCTCGAAGCGCGGTACAAAGTCAACCATATTAAAAAGATAAATAAAAACAATCTAAAATTTATCACATTTAAAAACAGACGCAACAATATAAAGGTACATTTGAGCATACCCAGTCAAAGTCTTTCATTCCGTTTCAACCATAAGCAACACAAGCCAATATACATTAACTGAAAAAGATGGTAGATAGCATCACCCCAGAAGGTGTTTGCGAAATAGATGTGTTTTTAAATCAGTTTTAAAGGACTCTAGTGTCTGGCTGTTTCTGAGAGTGACTGGAAGGGCGTTCCAAATTGTTGGGCCGGCAAATGCAAAAGTGCGCTTTCCGTAAGTCTCAAGGCAAACACACGGTATCGATATTTTGCCACTATCGGACGAGTGGAGGTCTCTAGTGGGTACATAAGGCGTCATGAGTGCTTTGAGATAAGATGGCGACAGATCATGTAAGCAGCGGTAGCACAAAGTTGCAATTTTGTTCTCTATGCGAGCCCGGACCGGCAGACAGTGCAGCTCCCTCAGAAGTGTTTTACCATGGTCGTTGGTTCTTTAATGTATAATTGGAAGTGGCACTACACCAGTTCTATAATTTAAAGTTTGCTTAAATTTAAGAATGAGTTAAAATAATTACACTTGATACATTTCTCCAGGTTGATTCCTGAATCCCCAAGATGGCTGCTGGCCCGGGGTCACAATGACAAAGCCGAAGCCATAATCCGCCATGCGGCGAAGGTGAACGGCGTTACCATTCCTGAGAAGGTCCTGAATAAAATAGAGCTTGAAGAGGACACCAAGAAGGAAAGCTTGTGTCTAGCCTTCACTTCACCACGGTTCATGATACGTTTGGTCATCTTATGTTATAATTGGTGTGTTTGTCATTAAATAATTGACATCTGTGTTAACAATGCATACATTTTTTAAGTCATCTGTTCCAGGTGTATGTACAATATTTTTCTGAATAAATTCCACTGCGGATTATAAGCCTCACCCTTTACTGATTAACTACCAGATTGAAAAACCCACTGTGGCAGAATTAAATCTAGGTCACATTTTCTCATTTTAGGTGTATGTACAAATTCAGCTGCAGTTTTTTTAATTATAAACATATTCAAATGATTAATAAACCATTTTGTAGGTAATTGAATTGTTTATAAGATAAACTTAAAACATTTGTAAAACATAGGAAGTTATTAATTGTTAAATCAGTATTTACAACAGAAAAACAGTAAAAATTATATGAATGTGCCAACTTAACGTATAAATTTTAAATTCCAAATCATTTAAAGCCTTTTATTTGGTGTTTCCAAATAGTAAATCCCATAATAAGAAATATGCACCAAAGAACTCAGAAATTGAAAATTATTTACACTTCCATTCACTTATATGCCTTTAGCAACCCTTTCACTTGTTGCCATGGTAAACAAGTCGTACAATTTTTGTAACTAGCTTGGAAGTTAAGTCAAAATTAATAAACAGCTAGTTTTTTAAAGAAATTCTGTTGATAGCATGCGGTTCTAATAGAAACATCCTGTCAGTACATTAAAATATTGAAGCAAAACGGGAACAGAATAATATTAAATATTTGACTAGATTTACTACGATACAAACATTGGCGATAACGGAAGAAATGCCGAACTGGTCCCACTGGCTCATGGTAGTTAACCGGTTAAAGTATGATGCTCTTTAAAAACCAGGTTATGGTTTTGTTTCAACATCCCTTTCCTAGACCATATCCATAGTTTAAAGACTTAAAAGTGGGGGGATTGCGGCCTATTTGGAACAGTAATTATATGACTTTATTATGATGCTAATTTGGAGAAAAAGCTGTTTACAATTATCAGAGGGAAATTAAATTTTGGAGAAAAAAAGAAATTATTTACTTGCTATATTTTCATTTTGAAATTTTAATTTTCTTTGCATTATGGAAATATCTGAATTTATGTGTGTGTGTGTGTGTGGAGAGGCATGAAATGTTTTCTTTTATAATTTTTAAATTAAATTTTGTTATGACTTGTTTCTTACGATGACTTGAAACATCTTTGATTCTATGCAAATAACAAAGCAATATAATCTTTATTGAAAAATTACCGGCATTTACTATCCATATTTTCAGGTTAGTTAGTGCCATGGTGTACTATGGTCTGAGCTTAAACTCAGGGAACTTGGCTGGCAACATTTACATCAATTTTGAGCTGATGGCTTTAGTAGAAATCTTGGGATACGTCATCTGCCTGTTAGGGCTCAACAGGATCGGACGAAAGTATCTGCACATTCCCTGCATGCTGGTTGGGGGCGGAGCCTGTCTGAGCACCATCTTCCCTGTGCTGTACGCCGATGCAAGTGAGTAGTGTGCAACAGTAACTTCAGACAACTCCTTAACATACATTTTTAAAAAGTAATTAATAATTGGATGAAATGTTAATACTTGCATCAAACCATTTTTGAAGTTGTGATTGGTCTCAGATGTTTCTAAATCAAATAAATTTGTTGAATAACAAAAACAGGCTTAGAGTGGATCAACATTGTGCTGGCTCTTGTGGGCAAATGTGGGGCAGCCGCTGCCTTTGCCATCATCTACATCTACTCAGCTGAGCTGTTCCCCACCGTGCTGAGGAATTCCCTCATGGGAGTTACCTGTCTTTTTGCAAGGGCAGGCGGCATGATCTCCCCTTACATTGCAGATTTGGTAAGAAATACAGCTTACATTTTGTTTCCTATTTAATCTCAACAAATTTTTAACCCACGAACTGTGGTGGGCCGAAAAAATCGGCAGACATTCTCATTCTGTACTGTGGCGGCCTAAAAATCGGCCGATAAAAAACACTGTCCGATTGCAACTTCCAATCTAATATTTAATTAAAAATAAGTCCTTTTTAATCGGAGTTTTATATCGCTGTTTTATTTTAAAGTTAAAATGGTGCAAGAACTAATAGAAATATGTTTGAAAGCTTTTTAAGAGAGAATTTAAGGGATACTGATTTTAACATTCCCCATGACGATATCAGTTGAGATTATTCTTCTTGTGAATTTTTTAATAGTCTTAGTAATACTGAAGTAGACCTACTTCCATTGACTTAGACTTTGAGCTAGGCCTGGAGGTTGGGCAAGGACTGACTGAATTTTAGCCACAGAAGCTACAGGTTTAGTTCAGAACTAATAAATTTTATAGTTAAACAACCCAGATAAGTTCCTCGTTAAATGTTTACTAGTCAATAATAACTATTTTGCCTGAGATTTTGTACTTGGTTTCAGCTGTGGTCCCAGCTTCTTACATAAATGACCTAAAATTACTAAAATTGCTTTCATAGGTTTAATTGCAATCAAAACCTTAGCAAATTATATATTTTCTAAAAGATAAATGAATTGGCTACAACATTTAGATTTATGTTTTAAGTGTATCTATAAAAATTAATGATGTTATGAGCACTTGAAAGCAAGACATTTTGTCAATTTTTTTTCTTGAGAACTCCCAAGGTCAAGAACACTGAGCAAAATTTTTTTACTGGTTGGGCAATATGGCTCACTTTATCCTCATCCATTTACCTTTCTAAAAATATATATTTATTGGGGTCTTGTATCAATATTTCTATGTCATTTAATGCAATTTCAAATGGCACTCCAAACGCTCTGAAAAGCTCCACACCACAGAATGATGCATGCCACAGTTTGTGGGTTAATCACATCTATTTACCCTATTCCTCTTTCCTCTGAAGGAATGTTAGATTTAGGCAACTAAAGGAATGTTAGATGAAGGATACTAAAGGAATGTTAGACTTAAACTACGAAAGGTATGTTAGATGTAGGCTACCGTACTAAAGGAAGTTTAGATTAAGTCTACTAAAGGAATTTTAGACTTAAGCTACTAAATGAATGTTAGATTTAGGCTACTAAAGGAATTTTAGATGTAGGCTATGGTGCTAAGGGAAAGTTTTATTTAGGCTACTAAAGGAATGTTAGACTTAAGCCACTAAAGGAATGTTAAGATTTAGGCTTTTAGTTGTTTTCTGGCTTGAATTACTGTTACTTTATCAACAAATATAACTGAAACTGATATACATATATAATTTTTTTTTCAATAATATTTTAAATACAATTTTCTGAAACTGGTAAAGTGAGGATCTTTGTAATTTTAAATAATCCATGTTCCGACTTCCATCATAAATGAGTATTAAAAATACTTTTGCTTTCTATGGAAAATTTTCACCATTATAAAAATTTGTCCATTTCATTGAAAAGCGGAATGAAAACAATGTTTTTAAATTGTTGATAAATAAAAATGACTACCGATTTAAACAAATATTATGTATACCGGTAGATGGTAAAATATGTTCAGTTATAAAAATTCGTCCCTTTCATTGAAAACTGGAATGAAAACAATGAAATGTGTTTTTATATTAGTAATAAATAAAAATTACTATCATTATAGACAAAAAATATACAGAGATTGGCAAATTTTTCCAGGAAATTAACATTAGCTAAAATCCTACCGAGTTCCTGGAAAAGAAACATTAGTGCATTGCAATTAAGTGTTCTAGAATACGGTCCCCTCAGTGCATATTTTGATTTGATCTTAATGAATTGATATCGCCGGGCCCTTAGAATCATCCTGTGGAATAAACTGATTTTTCTATAAGCTTTTTTCATCTTTCCTTCAATGTACAGAACACACTTGTGGAAGGCCAGTTTGGCAAGGCACTTCCTCTCATTGTATTTGGCGCCACAACAGTCATAGGCGGAATCATGTGTTTTGCCCTGCCCGAGACACTGGACAAGCCCCTGCCGGAGACTCTAGAGGACGCTGTGGACTTTGGAAGGTACTTTCAGTAAAGGTCATTTCTAATGAGAATACGCGATTCAGTACCTGGTAACTTAAACACATGAATGATCTAGCCGGAAGGTTTTTGAAATTTAAGTTCAGAGCTGCAAGTCAAGGATCTGTTGGCTTGATCTATTGGCTTGATCCGCTCTCTTGATCTATTGGCTTGATCTATTCTCTTGGTCTATTGGCTTGATTTGTTTGATTGATCTATTGACTTGATATTTTCTCTTGATGTGTTGACCCTAATTGTTCTCTTGATCTGTTGGCTTGATCTGTTCTCTAAATCTATTCTATTGATCTATTGGCTTAGTCAAGCATAATAAAAAACAAAGGTGTCTTCTGCTTCCATGGGCCCACGTTCTGGAACCAGCTCCCCTTCCATGTACGTCATAGTGAAACCTCGTCCCTTTTCAAAAAGTCCCTTAAAACTCATCTGTTTAGGTCCGCCTATGACCTGTGATGCATCCTCCTTGCCCTACCTAATTTTCTGTTTCGGTTTAATCCTGAAGTGTCAAAGTGTCCTCTTTTTATAGCCATTTTCATTGTTTCTATAGAATAGTAGTTACTATCCTAGTGTCTCATTTGTATTTACTTAGTTTACTTGTTTTAATAATTGTAAAGCGCTTAGAGCTTTATGATAAGCGCTATATAAAAATGCCTAAATAAATAAATAAAATAAAGTAATAGCAACGCCCATTAAGTACTAATAAAAACTTCTACTGAAAAGCAATGTGCCATTTTTTATCAATCAACTCATCAGTCGTTCTTTGCGGTTTAATAAAATTTTACTCTCCTACGAAACAGATACAGCACTGTTCAAAATTTTTAATAAAAAATATAGTTTAATTTGTTTATAAAAAAAAAGTTGTCTTATTTTAAAGATGGGGAACAATTATTATCTTTTCCAAACAAGAAGTAAAGCAATCAATTTAAGTTAAAAGTTCTTTTTTTTAAATTTTCTTAAAAAAACCCACGGTTTGTGAATAACTTCTTTTAAACAGCTAATTCATTTAATTATTAATTCACGTAACTAATACCATTTGTGCATTGTTTTATATACCGGATACATGTAACATCAAAAGCATGAAAAATAAAATATTCCTAAAATCACGTTTGAACCAAAATTAAGCTTTTCAAAAAAGCTTTTACTTCATGGATTTTTTTTTTTTATGTTCCCCAGAGCCAGACAAGGATCTAAGACGAGAAGAAATGACAGCGGAGATGTATCCCACACGAGGGATGACCCAGATGCACAGTGTCAACCCCTAACTGAGAAGATCTCAGAGAGTCCCAACGGTTTACTTTCCGAAACACTGGAACAAAGTATTGTTTGATGTTGGGAAGGTTTAGCCGATTTGTATATTTCCACAGGAGCCATCAAATAATACTACTTACTTGTAATGATCTGAGAATGACAACAGTGTTTATTTAACTGACACTCAAACTGACAGGGGCAGGTCGGGGCTTGTCAAAGTATGGTTCCTAACGAATTTGACTGTCATTTCAATGCTGTCGTTTGGTTTGTCTAGGCTGTCATTTGGTTTGTGTAGGCTGTCTCTTCAATCCTGTCATTTGGTTTGTGTAGACTGTCTCTTCAATCTTGTCATTTGGTTTGTGTAGGCTGTCTCTTCAATCCTGTCATTTGTTTTGTGTTGACTGTCTCTTCCATCCTGTCATTTGTTTTGTACAGACTGTCTCTTCAATCCTGTCATTTTTTGTGCAGTGTAGAAAAATAGCAATTTAATTTTTAAAGCATCGTTGATGGGATCCAGTTGTATTGAAATTTTTTTTTATATGCAGTATATAAACTATTAAATCGAACATCTGGACATTCCTCTGAGCATTCTTCCTTAGCTTGATTCAAATGTTAAATTGAATTATTTCTTTGATACACTCTCCCCATGAAAGAAAATATAAAATATATTTTAATGCCTTTTTTTCCCTTTCATTTTCTCAAGCAATGACATATTAGACGTACACTATATTAATATACGGGATATATTATCTCATTTTTTACAATTGTATCCTACCACGCCAGGTTTTTGTTTGACCTGGGCTCAGCATTTCTTGGTAACTGTTGTCAAAGATTGCTTTATGTCAAAGATTGCTTTTATCAAATGCTCTGCCTTTAAGAGACAATTGGGTGAAATTTATACAATTTATAACCATATTATGCATAAATGCTTCAGCGTATTAATATTAAAATGTATGCGCAGATCATGTCAATGAATATTTATTTTGTGAAAAGTCATGTTGATAAGAATTTGATATTACTTATTACGTAGGAGCCAGCAACAGCACTTTGAAATGATTGAAGTATTCAATGTATGATTTTCTGTGCATTCTTTTGATGTTGTGTTTAAATTATGATGTGATAACAGTTATGAGGCAAGAAACACCAAAAAAGTAAGATTTTTTTTTTCTTAAATGGTGATAGTAAAAAAAGACCTCATTTCCGTTTGGTCCACTCCCAAAAGTGCGCTCTTTAACCCGTACAGATATTCATTTATAATGCTATTTATAAACCCCAAAAAAGCCCCCTCTGCACCCCCCATAGTTTCTGCTACCAGGAATGAAATATGATCTTGGTCAATGCGCAAGAATGTAAATAAATTTGACATTCAACTTTAATACACACGCTGGATAATTACAGGGTTAGATTTATTTAAGCATTCAATAATTTGTGTCATATGGTTAATGGAAAATTGGGCACAATGCAATGTTTTACACTTAACTTATAGCTTGTGGTCCCTTTTTATCGTCATGTCTTTCCATTTCAAGCTCCCACTTACCTAGTTCCACCATTGCCTTCACACAGGTTGAACGCATTCCTCCGTTTATTTATCCTTCACTACATCAATCCTTCACTACCCACCCCCTTAACATGAAACACACCTCTCTAGTCTTAACAGATTTTTATAAGCTTCTCTGTCTTCAAAACTTTACAAATTGAATCAAACTTATTTTTTAGATTTTTTAAAGGTTACAAATTAAATAATTAATTACAAATTAAATAATGAATAGAAGCCTCAAAAATTCAAATGTTCATTTTTGTGAGACTACTTTTCATGGAAGGAATTCACCAACATTTTCTCCTAAAATATTCTACATTCCCTATTCTTTGATTCCTGGGGGGTCTTGCAATACATGTGTGCAAAAATATCAGTTTGTTTTGTTGTTTATAATATTTTATTTCAATTTTTAAATCCTCTACATTGACTTTGCTTTTGTTCGTGCGTTTCTTTCTTTCAGGCTGGGTGTACGCACAATTTTTTTCATGCCCCTGGGCTATATTAATATTCTAATGAACCACCGGTTTTAAGACCACAGATTTATTTCAGAAAGACAAAGAAAATATTACGCATCAAACGCACAACCCGGTAGCAGCATCTATTTTTAAAAGAATCTCATTTAGAGCAGTTATTAGATTTTATGTAATGAAATCATATTCCCTTCATCTCCCCCTGAAAAAACAGATTTTTGTGGGGGCTGGGGATCAAAATTTGAAAGAATGTGTTTTCACCAGCAACAATTCTAGCAACAATGCTATGTGCCAAGTTTCAGCTTGACAGGAAGTGGGTCAATTAGCCATCCAAAGGTTTCACCAGCCGGCCACCCACAAACAAAAGCGAAGTTAATGTAAAGGATTTTTTTTAAAAACGATTTTTAAAAAAATGATGTTTCAAGCTCAACTATTTTTTTTCCTTTTCTTTTTACATTGTCACAAAATCTGTATTTTTTTTATATTTTTTTTTGGTGTAACTCATGGACTTCAGACTTGAGCAGCTTTTACCACATCAATGGACTATCAGCCAAATGGAGTTAATCATGGGTTCTTAACCTTTGTTACCCTCTACCCCCTGGGGTGCAGTAGGCAGTGCCAGCAGGGGGTGCGGGAGAAACGCCAGGGGCAGACCTAGACTTGTTTTAAGCTATTCCATTATCTATTTTAACTGGACAAGTGGAAGAGGGGGGGGGGGGCGCTTTGCTTTAAAAAAGAGGCGAGAACCTTTAATTATTGCATCCATTTTTTTATCGGGTTTCATCATGTTTGAATATCCTCACAACCCACTCGTTCCCCTTTGCCATGTCTAGTATGCATAGCAGGGGGTGCGGGAGAAACGCCAGGGGCAGACCTAGACTTTTTTTAAGTTATTCCATTATCTATTTTAACTGGACAAGTGGAAGAGGGGGGGGGGGCGCTTTGCTTTAAAAAAGAGGCGAGAACCTTTAATTATTGCATCCATTTATTTATCGGGTTTCATCATGATTGAATATCATCACAACCCACTCGTTCCACTTTGCCATGTCTAGTATGCATGACACTGTAAATAGTTTTTTTTGGTGTAGAATCTATTAAAGAGATGATAAAATATTTTCATCCTTAACTAGTTGCTTTCTTACTATTAATATTACTCAGTTTTATTTCATTCATTATTGTTTAGACTTGAGAATCCAAACTTTGTCAATAAGACTCACTTCACCAAATGTGATGTTTAGAGTTTAAAAATAAGACTCACTTTTACAATTGTAATGTTTAGCGGTTCGATTACTTTCATTTAACCAATGATACTTTATTATTAGATTAAATTTTTTTGCTGTAATATTGCAGAGGATGTCAGGGTGTGTGATCACAGGGTGTCAGGGTGTGTGGTTAGAAGATGTCAGGTGTGTTCTAAAGGAGTAAATAATCCTACTAGGAAAATGTTTACCTTCATTTGTGAAGTCTGTTACATGGGTTCTCTAAGTCTATTTATAAAGGGGGGAGGGCAGACTGGGGTATGAATTTTTATGAAAATGCATGATAAAAATATTTTATTTGGGAAGATATGGTGGGGGGAGGGGGTTGCTGGAAAAAATCTGCTAAAATAACCTTACAACATTTTTAGACTACCCTAGTTTCGATATCACAACCATTATGTGAAGTTAAAAAATTTGAAAATGTTTGGAAATAATATTTGACACCAGATCTTATGTTAGTATTCACCTGTTATAACAGATCACATACAATTTTGAACAGAAATAAGAGAAAAAAAAATCAAACCATAGAAAAAAAATGTTTTTATTACTCAGTACAGACAGCACAGAAGAGTTCTCATTTGCTCACATACTTGTATGCATTGCGAATACACAGTGTGTACAATTTGAACACACTCAAACAAGGTGAACAATGATAACACACCACAATTAGTCAAACTTTGATCACCCATAATCAAACCCAACCCCCCCCCCCACAACACAAACTAAGCTTTCTTCTGTGCCTTTCTCCTCTCCCACCTCAAGCTTCGCCGCTGGACACGAGCCCACCACAGCCTCTTCTCGTGATCGGGATTTTTAATCTCTCCAAACTCACAGGGACCCGATAAGCATGGCGGGACGAATTCTTCTTCTGCAAACACGGTCCTCCTGATGACATCTAAATCTCGTTTAAAAATGTCCTTTAATTGGTCCGGCAGCTGGGTAGATCCGTCAAATTTTATGAGAATGTAACTGTCAAAAAGAAAATCAACATTTTTAAAATAATACTGAAAATTCCAAAAAGTAATTATGAAAAAAAAAAAAAAATCAACCTAATTTGGCATTGTGAAAAGAAATAACTTCATACGAACGATGTCTTTTAATTTGATCAATATGATTTTTCGTAAACCCATGTCCCAACCCCCCCTTCCCCCCCCCCCCCTTCCCCCCCCCCCCCCCCATATTAAACATTTTACGTGCATCTTACCCAACTTCGGAATCGACTCACACTATCCCCCTCAAATTTTGTCCTAACCACCCAATTTCATAGGCCCCCATTCTTACCCTTTCCTAAATGCTCAAAACTAGGGTGGAGGTGGAGCATAACTCCGGAAGTAAAAACCTGGAGCGGAACACTCCAAAATTTGCATGGTCCAAAGCCACGACTTTATCACAACTCTTGATGCAAAATTTGTATACTTACTTTCCTTCTGTAAATTTTTGTCCATGATTGCTCATTCTGTAGGGCAAAGGCTTTAATCCAAGGTTTTCCATTCCCCGAATGATCCCTCCTTGGTCTAAGATATTTGTGCAACATCTCTTGATCACCTGGACAAGTTCAGGCTGAAGAACAATTTTAAACACAGATTTTAAAAGTTTAATACACAAATCATGATGAGGATGAGATTATCCAAGTAGGCCTAGTAATAATAATATTATAATTAATAAAATACTCAGGACTGTCCCACTGATGACAGTCCGAGTCATGATAATTCTGTGAGAAATGTGATCAATGAGATTATTACCGTAGTTAAAATCACTCAGTTCAGTTGACTCAGTCTTAGTAGTTCAATACTAATTCATAAGTAATTTTTATTGCAGTAATTGGATGTAATGCATCATAAGTGGTGAGATGTCAGTAATTATGTAGGATTTGTGAAATGCTTTTTGATAATATGTTCCTGATACTGTGTAGGGTTGAAGAAACACATTTCGGGCCATGGGAACTCAGCATGCAGACTCATTTTTAAATCAAAGAAACATGACCACATTCAACCACACATGCGGCAACTCCACTGGCTTCCAATATCCTCTGGCATCAAGTACAAGTCTGCCAATCTATGCTTCAACTCGTTCACTGACCCTCACTTTCCTGTCTATCTCTCTGAACTGTTGCTTCCTTACATCCCCACAAGACAACTACGCTCCTCAATTGACAATAGAACCCTCTCAATCCCAAGAACCAAAACTAACACCATCGGCGAACGCTCCTTCTACTTCCTTGCGCCCACGTTCTGGAACCAGCTCCCCTTCCACATCCATCATTGTGAAACCTTGTCCACTTTCAAAAAGTCCCTTAAAACCTATCTGTTTAGGTCCGCCTATGACCTGTGATGCACCCTCTCTGCCCTGCCTCATTTTCTGTCTCGGGTTGATCCTGTAGTATAGGCCAAAACGTGCCAAAGTATACTTGTTTTTATAAAGCCATTTTAATGTTTAAGCTACTGTTTCTATAGTCATTTTTAATATAGTAGTTACTGTTCTAGTGTCTCTGGTTTTTCATTTTTATTTTACTTTAGCAGTTTAAATAGTTTACTTGTTTTTAATAATTGTAAAGCGCTTAGAGCTGTAAGGTAAGCGCTATATAAAAATGCCTGAATAAATAAATAAATGCCTGGATCCAGAGTTGCATGTTTGTGTTTTTTTTACTTATGTAAGCTATTAGTTACTATTAGTATTAGTATATATTGTTAGTGCTGCTATACAAATAAAAAAGATTCAAGATTTTACACTGCGGCTTGGTTGGTAGGTTATAAACGTTTAATGTAAACTTTATCGTTGCCCATGTGTGGGGTGCGTAATAGCTTTGCTTATTACTATTATTACACAGGAACATTGTGTTGAAGGTTAATCGTGAGACTGAAAGCACTGAAAGGTATCATTGTCATTATAATTATTGAAATTGAATAATCATTCTTAGACCAAGGCCGAGGTGGTCAGCCTTTTTCCCAAGCAAAAAAAGCCACAGTTGTGGCAAATGAGAAGTAAAATTTACCACACTATATATATCATATAGGGAAAAGGGATAACATCGGAAAAGAGAGTCCCTAGGTGGAACGAAATCCCACAGAGAACGGTAGCCCATCGGGATCCCACTGGGATCAAAACACCGACGGGATCCCGATCCCACCGGGATCTGGATTCCCCTTGGATCCAGAGCCACAAGAAAACAGGATCCCACGGGGAACAGGATCACACCAGGAAAAGGTATTGCGCCGGGATCGTGGTCAGAATGGGATTGGGGTCTTAACAGGATCGGGGTCCTAATGCAATCCTGTGCAACGCTGGCTGGGTGTATTAGTGTATTTGCTAGTAAATCATAACATGATAAAACAAAACACTTAAAATTATGCTAGTTAACAATGTTAATAAATAGGCGTAAGCTATTCATGATTATGCCTCTTTTGTCAAAAGTTTTGATAATATTTTTATGTACAGCGCGGTGAGCCAAGCCCTAGGCTGGGGTACCGCGCTATAAAAGACCCCCAATTATTATTATTAATATTCTAACTGGGTAACTTTAAAAAAACGAGACATAGATAGGCTGTCAAATGACTGTGACTCTATTCTACAGATCTCAGACTACTCTCACTCTCCTCAAAAGTCTTCTGATATGATAAGTATAAGTCAGTAATATCATAATCATAATATCAGTTTGAGTAAACAAGTCTTAGAGTCTACAGGTAAGAAAAGAAGGGCTAAACCTAAATAAAGTTAATTGGTCTTAAGAATTAGATCTTAAGAATTTACAAACAACGAACTAACCCGCTGCAGTGCCTTCAATATTACAGACAACTCGTAAGTTGGCATGACTTTGAAATGGTAAAGGACCAAGATATTCACTTTCGATTTCGGATATCGTGTTTTGTAAAATCAAACGAACATAGCCATAGGCAAACTCATACTCATTTATCCGAAAAAAAACGTGTCGAAATAATTAGACCCAACATGTTTACAAAGTTACTGAAACCAATTAAAAAAAAAAAATCAAATTTTAACATGATAATAAAATGATATATTTATTAAAAAAATTGCTAGGCCTAAGTTGTAATACTTTATTGATCACAATATTGGTTATCATATTAACAATATTACTAATACCGGTTGTAACATAGTATTCCTAAATGACAACATAGGTTAAAAAGCGAATGACTCGGACGACTCGGTATCTTTTTTAAAATTAAAATAAGAAATAATATTAAAAAATTACTACCCTTTTAAAGAAGCATCATGCTGGGTCCTTTTAAAATCCAAATTAATTGCAATAGCCGGTATTTCATGTCAACAAAATTTAGTGGGGAAAAGTAGAACCGAAAAGAGGATTAATAATTAATGAAAATGAAGCACCCATTCAAGAACCATAACCATCAAAACTTTCTAGCAAATAGCAGACGAAAAAAGAGATAATTAGTAACAGAAAAAAATTATTTTGACAAGAAATTAATTATTACCGAAAATGATGTTAATTTCAAATATAGGTAACGTTGCCATAAATATATGTTTTAAATGACCAATGTAACCAGTGAAAGAAATAGCGTAAAAAAGGCCGTTTACAAAAAATAAATAGTTTGCAAGAGAACTATAACTATAGTTAGTTAAGTTAGTCACTATAGATAGGCCTACGTCTACGTGGTAAAGAAATATTTAACTTTTAAAGTTTACTCTCTATTATGATTTACGATATATACAGTATATTATATATATATATATATATATATATATATATATATATATATAGCCTATATATATATATATATATGTGTGTGAAAAAAAAACATTTCATCTCTCCTGTGAATTTAACATATCCCGGTATGCTGTCGCATTTTGTTTGTTTCATTATTATTTTTATATAAAAGAGCCGTGATTTCAATTTTTTTTTGTTCAACCTTGTCATGTGACTGCGATGGCAAAACAAAGAGTTTGATTTTTCTTATCCCACATAATATAGTTTCTTTTGAACACCTTAGGCCCCACAAGAATCGATCAGTAGGCGTAATTCCTTCGGCGTGTATGGCGCTCCGTAAAAGCTGCAAACTAGAAAAATTAGCCACAATAAAAAAAAATGTTTAAATTTGAAAAAGGGGGGGGGGGGGTAAAGTTTTATATAAAGACTACTACGCTTCAAATGAACGTACATTTGGCAATCTTCTTCTTATGTGCTTTTACCCCATGTGTGACGTAGGCCTATGCTGTCCACAAGATTTTTTCAATTGTGCTTTCTTTTCCAGTTGCTTCCACGTGTAGGACATAAACCATATTTTACATGTCTGCCTCCAGCTTGCTACGCCTTGTATTCTTTAGCCTTCCTCTCTTTCTGTGGATGTCATGTTACCGATTGTCTGGTGATGCTATCTGGGTTTGTTTTTTTTGGCCATGGTCACATCTAAATCTATTCTATCGTTAGTGTAGCCGAGTGGATGACGTAGCTTACAGTTTTATAATAAAATCAAAATGAAACAATCAGGTCTTGAGGACTATAGCTTTTTAATTAATGCTCTCCTATGATGAAAACAAGAAAAAGGACACTATGAACTATGGAGAAGTAGCCTATGAAGAAAAAGGCTTCTATGAAGAAAAAGAGAAAGAAAAAGGACAATATCTGAAAATAAACAAATAGTACAGGTTAACAATGTCCTGACTAACAAAGCTAATAATAAACATATTACATAACCACGTAATTACACGTGGCGACAACATATACTTAACTAGAAAGCATGATAAATGATACGTAAGTAGTATTGGTTCATACACATGGCAAAGATAATTATCTTGTACTACGAATGTTTTAACTATAAAAGAAACCACGTGCAGTGTTTAATTTGAAACACGTGCACAGTGTTAATGCTACACACAGAACCAGAGTGCGATGTGAGGGCTAACATAAACTCTAAAGATCTTGAAGTTATAATAGTATGCCATCCAGGTATGGTGTCTATGTAAGAGGCACACATAGCGGGACAGTAAATACAATGGTATTAAGTATGACCACCGTTGGCTTGATACTTGTATCTGTCCATCGCTGTGTCTTGTTAAGACAACAGCAGATTGCAGAATGAATCATAGTTAAATTATATGGGATGTGATCCTCACATGCACTATTTCCTATGAGAGAATTTAGCACACGGCAGGAAAGTTAGCCTATTACACATATTTGACGGACACTCGCTGGTTGTATACTGTTGTATCAATAGCTTATTTTATAAGCGCATTGCAGTATGTGTACCCAGAACGATATGCAGTTGTTTGTTACGCACAAACCCTGGTCACTGGTATCTATTTATTAATCCTATTAAATAATTTATTTAACGGTTGTATGTTAACCTTTAAAATAGCATGAGCATAAGTCTACACGCTGTAGGTTATCCTACACTCTATCCTGGTTATAAGTCTGAACAGAAATCTTCCAATGCTAACACTCAACAAGTTCCTACTAACCACAAAGAAATAAAAATGGCGTAATTGCCTCTACTTACAGAGCGTTCCAATGGGCCGCACTGAACAAAGGCACAATGCAGGTATGCTGACCAAAGCTCGAAATGACCCCTACCTCGTGTGCTCCCCTTTTTAAAACCGTGCGCGGACATATCAGAGAGCCCCTACGTCACACCTAAACCGAGTCGGTCTAAGTTTTGCCTTCTGGCCAGTTTCCTGGGGTAAAATGCCTAACTCTGGGGACTAATCCAGAGTAATAATTAAAATCTTTATCCACATCCCTAACGACTTATATGTAATCTGTGCAGTTTTGTCTTAGCTATCTAAGATGCTATTTTATATTTTTATGACTTAAATAGTTTTTAAGATATTTTAACTAGAAGGGGATGGGGACCACTATAAATGAAGGCGAAAACACCTTTAATGACTAAATATTAAAATATCCTCCAACGATGGAAACTTGTAAATATGCTAAGGTATAGTGAATAAAATCCCCGTCTTAACTAGATGTAATGTATAACTTAATACGCTAGGGTTCCTGAGAAATAAATTATTGAATTTCTAACCAATGCGCACATCGTGGTATTTTATTATTTCCTCCCTATGCGCCGGTCGTTAGGGGGAGGGGGGGGGAAGGTGAAAAGGGATACCTGTTACGCACCGCGCCAGTGCTACTACACACCGCGCGGCCTTGAGTTGGGCGCCAGACATAGTTTACGTAACGGGTCAAATAGTGGGTTGGGGCATACACTGCCACATCCACCCCAAACGTTTGAACTCCAGCGCCCTCGCTGGCTCGACTATAAAAGAAATCAGCAAGTACAAGCAAAAACAGAAATGTTTGAAAAATATTGTACGGTACATAGAAATATATACATATATTAAAAAAAATGCAACGTAAGTGCTCAATACAATAAAGGCACATTGGGGTAATTCAATCCCTGAGTATGACAAGTATTTCCTTGTCACGACATTGTACTTTCTATAATGACATGACTTATGAGGTTACAAGCGCTCGCACCAGGTCGACCCAAGACTTGTAGCATGGCAGTACGTCTACCAAAAGCACTACGATGTACAATCGCTAATTGTATACTGGTATATACGCCTAAGTTTATGTGAAACTTGAGGCAGTT